GAACCCCTAGTAAGCCCCCCCCCCCCCGCCATCGCTTTCTGGCTAGCTGTCACGTAGAGATCTGCTTTTCCATTTCAATTTCACGTCCAACTTGCAGAGGAAGTTCTTGTTCCTGCGACTTTTTGCGAGATTTTGTACGTATGCGTGTCTATTCAATTTATCCTCACAAAAAGGTTACTCACACATACACACGTTCACAAAAAGCACGAGGTATTCTGTGTATAATATACATGCTGTGTGTGTGTGTGCCTGCTGCTTTTGCCTCAGGCCATCCTGGTGTCAGAAAAAGCACAAGTATGTCAGCCACATATTGCATCATTCTACATAAGCAACACACGTGCACACACACACACACACACACACACACCATTTTGTCAAAACAATGAAATGGAGGTACTGCAGCCCTTCTCCCCGAGGACGCACTTACCGTTCAAGACCTGCACAGCTCCACTCTCCTAATGAGGAGACAGGATACAGAGGACACATGGGGGGGAAGGAGGGAGGTAAGGAAAGAAGTACTTCTGACAGACCGGCAGAAGCTTTGGATCCACACCAATCCCATCATTTAAAATAATACGGAAATCTTCACGTGCGGTGTGTTCATTTGTGTGAGGAGTCTTGGTGTGTGTGTGTTTGTGTGGCAAAACATTAATTTGGTAGAGTTTCTCTCTATGAGGCATTTCCATTAGAGCATTTCCCTTATTAAGGCTGTTTCTGTCCTTGTGTATGCACACACGCGCACACACACATGCGCACACACACATGAACGGACACGCACGGATGGACAGACCTTGGATTTGAACTGCTCTGTGAGAAATAAGGCAAGTGGGGTTTTTAACAAGCACAATGAGAAGACCGGGGACTCAGTGGAAGAAGCAAATGTAATGGGCATGGATACAACACATACACAAAAACTAACCATTATGTGGGATCCACACATGCACTTATAATACTGTACGTTTTGCATAAGAATGTGTATTTACAACTCCATTCACCCTCTTTTTCCTCTCTTGTGTCCAGTAGAAAACTTGATTCCAACAAGTAATTCGGAACATTGTCCCTTCAGCTGCTTCTCGCCTCAACACGTTTAGTAAAAGCGAAACAAAGGTTTTATTTATGAAATCCCAAATGATCAAACTTGCAGGGGAAGGAAAACATATTAATGGGCAAATGAAAATTACAGAAACTAATAAGGTATTAAAAATATTTCTTCATTACAAGGTCTAAACCACACCTTTTAATGCTCTAAAATGTTCTGTTCAGCATTGGTGAAACTGTGGGATTTAAGTGAACCACCGCATACGTATATGGGCCAGTAACTCATCAAAGGCAGGATAACAACGGCATTTCTGTTACACAAAACACTGCGAGACGCTGGAGGGCCGCGTTCCCAACTGTACACCCTGTTGTGCATTCACCTGGGGAGCATCCCCCACCACGTTGACCATGCGTGGGACCATCCCTGTGCTGCTGTCGGTGGCTCTGCTACATATCAACACACATTCAACTGGAATGATTACAATATTCTCTCTTCAACAACATATTTTTACCAAAAAGACTGAATGATACGATCAATATGAAAGGGCTTTCTGCTGCATCTAGATATTCTTTCCTAACTGTTACATAAGGCCGTCAATGTAATGGAATGACCTCTGAGGCATTCTACCCCCCGAGCACTACAGATGCCATTCGGGCCATGGTTCTTCAGTGTTAAGTCAAGTAAATCTTGGGTGGTCTTGATTCATCAATGGCTCATGCTGCTTCTGTCATGTGTTATCATACATAGACGAACACACACACGCAACTCTCAAATTATTGATGAAAAAGTGTAGAGCACACAGTAATTATTGCAAATCTTTTGAAAAGCTGATTCTTATGGTGGGTTTAAAACAAAACAAAACCATAGGCTTTCAAATCACTAGTCATTTGTGTATTACTTGTGTGTGTGTTCATTTATGTATAACAAGACATGACGACACAGAATGTGTGCTCCCACAATACTGTACATGTGTGTGTCATTATCGATTTAATCTACCTGCTCACACAGCCACGTTCCTGGTGGTTGTAAAGTCCTGGAATGGAAAAGCATCTTCACATTCTTCCTCTGTTTTGTGTAACAGTTTGAACACCAGAGCTTGCCACATCATTTTTCACACCTGATGTTCTTCTCCTGGATCTTGGTGAGGAAGCGCCGAGACGATTAATCCTTTCAGACAGGAGCAGTGAAAAGTGGATGGCAAAAAAAAAAAGATTAGATGAAAGCCCAAATAGAGGCAGCCAAAGGTGCGTGTACAAGAGAAGAGGCGAAGTCAAAGGGGCCTTTAAATGACGCGCTTCCGCTTTCTGGTTGTCAAGCAAAAGCCAGATAGCCTTGTAGAATCACGCACCTGTGTTCGCGCTTCTGCGATAGGCTGAGTGACGCGTCAAACACTAATGAGGGACATGCACGCTTTTTCCGTGACCTAAGGACTGGAGCTCAGTGACACGCGCCGAGCTGCACAACGCGTGTGGACGTAGACGCATGCGGAGGTTGCACAGTTGTGTGTGGTTGGTGCACAAATGGAGTGTGACATGCAAGCCCTGCCAACCACATACCCTCTGCTGCTCCGACTCTTCTCTCAGACCAAACATTGACATGCTTGTTATAACAATTTGACAGACACACACTCACACACATCCGTTTTTTTCAACATATCACCCGTAGAAAGTCGAGGTCCATTCTGCGTCACCTGATCGCTTGAGCAGATATCTGGATTTATATTGCGGGGAGGCTGATGAACAGTGTTGTTGATTTGCAAGGGTGGCTGTGCTGCATCTGTATCTGTCAAGGACATACTGACACACCTGACCACATAGAAACACTCTGCAAAAGCACCTGCTCACAGATGCAGTCTGTAAAATATTTCCATAACATTAACAGAGTTCCATCAATTATTCTCGGCTTTCTGTGATGGATGCCCATCAAAAGCCAAACTATGAGGCCGATTTTCAAACAGAACATAACCTTGTTATAATAAAACAGTTTTGCTTCACCTTTTTTTTCTTTTGGAGGGACTGAGCACCGGCTTAATAGGATAGCATGGCTAAAGAAAAGAGTGTCAGTGAAAAGGAAATACGACTTTCTTAGAATAACCTTGATGCCGAGAACCTCTGAAACACCTCCGCTCCGAGCTGATAAAAAGAGAATCCATTCCATTTGATTAATTTTTTAGCCTAAACACAACACTTGTGAAGAAGCACACAGACATACTCACACTGTGACTGGCACCGGCATTCCATGTGTGATGTCTCTGCGTGCCTTCACACTTGAGTCTGGGCTTACCTGTGTGTGTTAATGGGTGTGCATTCGAATGCACAACAAATCATCCAAGTGTTCACAAATTAGTTTTTGTGTTGCATAAAAGCATTCCTACTCCATTCTTCAAAATGATTCGCGTAGCTTTTTGATCAAAACATACCATTTTAAAACCATGAAATATTCAGCATTTTTATTTTTTATTACTGTGATCTCGTCAGAGCAGCCAATGTTCTGTACAACATTTGACACTTAATAGTGTCAAAGTTAAAGCAACAAAACCTTTAGGAAAAGAGCGTATGTTAACGTCTACTGACAAGCGAGTCATTCGACTCACGATTCACGTGAGCTACGTACCAAATACCACAAACGACTCTTGTAAAGAAGTGTCAACAACTGCTTTTATTTTGAAAGGGAACACAAATGTCCTCTGTGTTTGTGAAGATGAAAGTATAATCGCAACTGCATTACCTGAACGACTCTTGACAGTTTCACCTTAAATAATACTAACATGAAAGTAAGGACAGTTTTGGATTGCAGCTTTAAACAGATAATATGGAGGGATGAAATGTGTCACTGCAGAAATTATGAAACACTATTTGAAAATATCAATAACTACTGCCACCTAAATGGCAAAGTAACCAAAACACATCGCCAAGTTTTAGTGATTCAGAGTAGCACCTTCTGCTGATAGATCATCGGTTTCACGGAGTGTGTCTGAAATAAATGTTGCAATGTTCTTCGATGCTTTAACTCTGGTATTTTGCTGCTTCCACCTACCCAGCAGATGTTTAGAATGCCCGCCCTGAATGAAGAGGTTGCCCTGTCAGCATATCTTCCAATGCTATCTGACTTCTGGGACAGCCCTTAAAAATGAGTCACACAACACATTATCACACAGTCAGTGTGCAGTCGGCACATACCTACATGCACCCACATGCACACGCAGACACAAGCGCGTAGTTGTGAAGCTGTGAGGTTGAGAGGTTCTCTCAATCTCACCCCGCACGCCTCTTTTCCTCGTAGCTCTCAGGTACACTTATTCTTGGTTACCTTTCCTTTCTGTTCCCATCGGATTTTTTAGGGAGAGAAATAATTGGTAGTGATTAATTCCTAGCTTTGCACGCCGGAATTCTTTAAAGAGATATATTGAAAAAAAATGGAGGAGCATCATCTTGAAAAAAGATTTGGTCAGACTTCAGTTTAAACAATCCAAAAAATACATATCATGAATGTGAAGAGCCTCCAGTGATGACATTATGTCAAAGATTCGTTATATTGTGTCGCAGAGGTATCAGTTGGAATGAGCGTGCAACAGCTAGCCGCAGCTGCTCCTGTCAGGTAGAACCTCAAGAGGAGACAGTGAGTCAATACACTGGACTTAGTCCAACATGAGGGGATAAAGAAGTCCTAAACAATTGCTTTTATCTCCGACCTTTTTGACTTTTCTTTTTCCTTTTTTTTTGTACTGTAAAGTTAAATTGCACAGGCGCAGAGGCAGATGTGGCACATTGCACCACTAGGTTACAGCTGAACTGAAACCCTTCCTGAATGTGGAAAAACAGATTTAGAGATACGCTCCCATATGTGATGAAAGTGGGACCAAGTTTTAGAGACAGCAAAAAGACAAAAAAACAATGTATAACTGCAGTGTTCAAATAGAGTTAGCGTCTCGAGTTATGTTTTATCTATATTTGTTGGTTGGCAGCTGTTGTGGTATTTATTTCAATGGGGACTCCCTGTTCCCACAGGGATAGTGGTGCTAAATTCACATTATCCAGCATCCCTTTTGTCATCCTGGAACTTGTCATTGGAATGTTGTTGTGCTTACATAATCTCCTGCAAAACTAGGCCTTTTCAATCTACTGCTCCATTCCCCTCAGTCTCACTGGGACATTACGCACTCACAAGGGTGCACATATGGACACACATGTCCACACAGCCTTCTGCTCAAACTCCTCTCTGCACGGGACATGGTCGCATCAATCTTTGCACTTTGATCAGACACATACCCTTGTGCATGCACTCAAATACACACAAATAGTGTATCACAGCGCCCTGGATTAGGGGTACAGATTAGAGATTAGGGCCAGCATTAGGATTACGCAGTACTCACCAGCCCCGCCTCCAGCGTAGATCAGAAGCACCTCTGCCCCTATCATCTACAGTGGTGCTACACATAGACATACTGATAGAAAGGAAGAGAGAGTGAAGCAGAGTGAGGGTTTTTACACTTATTCTTGTTCCCTAATCCTAAATTAGCACCTGCAAAAATGTCATTACCTCTGATGATTTCTATTGCCTTTTGGTCCATAGTCATCGTATCATATTGTCTATTGTTCTCAGTTCCTTTCTCTCTCCGTCTCTCTCTCTCTCTTAAATTTCTCACATGGCTTAATCCTAAAGGCATCTTCTTCATCGCTGCGTCTAGCGTCATTCACACTAACCACCGCTCACATTCCCTCTTATCACATCCTACCTGACTAGGTCAATTCCATGGATTGGCTTTGATATCCATAGATATTAGATGGAAGTCAAGAGAACTCATAGGAATGAATGACCTAGAAGGGCGTAAAAGGAAAGGGTTTTAGAAGAACATTGAGGATAGCTGGCTGAAGCCTCCAGGGATTCTACGTCTTACACCAGATGAAATGTTAAAGGATGTGGGGGAGGACCGCCAAAGGACTGAGGTGGTATATTGATTGCCGATTCACTATCTAGAACCTTGATTTTCTACCTTGGCATTTGGGCCCCTCCGCAGTGGTCACAAGCTATTTAAGGGAGAACTTGATATGTGAGTATTTTTTCTTTTCTTTTCTCCAGACATATTTTTCAGAGCATTTTTCAATTTTTGAGGACATTTAATAGATCACGAAATACTGATCTAGAAAGAAAATTCAAACACACACTTATACGCACACAACGAACATTTTTCCCTTCATTAAAACCTTAAAATCAGTGCTGCTCATGCCTCCAGTGATTGCTGAGGAAGCCAGCTGCTTTTGGGACACAGGGACACTGCCCTTTATAAATAAAGTTTAACTTGAACTTGACAGACGTTGCATGGAATCTGTGGACTTTAGCAGAGTGGAGAGGAGCTCAGTGGGTGGCTTAGTATCTGTTGACAGGACTGGCACGCAACCAGGCTGCCAGAAGCGTTGGCATCCAGATTCGTTGAGAAATGGACTTGGCCGTATATGTTCAAGACTTCAACCACTGGAGAATGTTTCTCTTTTGCTCTTTATCATGCATGTCCATGCTGCTTTATCTGTTAATAAAAGGTGTAATCAAAATGATTCACGCTTTGTAATTCAGTGATTGAATTCAGTGTATTTGCCTTTATTTCTCAGGTGAATGCCGTCATGCCGTTTGGGTGCCTTGCCCTGCGGGATGGGCGGAGTTACAGTAGCATGTCTGATGTCACGGACAAATATGAGATTGGACAGGTCCTCAGAGCGTAAGTAACAGAACGCTTAAAGCATTGATCTCTTTGGTCCTTTTTGCCCCCCTCCTCACCCATGTACAATTCATGGACAAGTTCCAGTATTCCAAAATTGTCTTTATTCCTTTCATGAATTATTTAAAATTGGACAATTTTCGCTGCAGATTTGAACTTTCACTGACAAAGTGATAGCGTGAGGCTAGTTTGTGGCTGAATTTTAGCCTACCAGTTGTCTATATGTTTTGATCGCGTCAGAAACTCATTCATGACACAAAACACACTGTTGGAATTCTTTAAATTATTCAGTTCTAATAAATCATTAAATCATGCCTAAAACAATCTTTTATACACATTCTCAAAGAGCTCTTAGAATTACTGCTGCTTGAATGCATACGGAAAGTTGTTGTTCTAATGAACACCTCTCTTTGACACACTGAATGCACACACACACACACACGCACACACACGCATTCACTTACACCAATCAGAGTAAGAGGCCATATGGCATTTGCATCCAGATCAGCATCTGGCCTCAGAGATCTCAGTTCTTTATATAACACTGACACACACACACACACACACAGATACAAACATTACCTCACTATTACGTGCACACATTTGCTCTACGTATGCTCTTAATTGGACACAATCACAGAATATGAAGATGGTAAGTCTGTGTTAGTCCGGTTGTAAGAATGACTTACGGTAAGAAAGAAAGCATTTTTCATATTTGATACATTGTGACTATTCATGAATAGTCTTTATAATACAAAAGAAGAGAGACGCTGCATTTCTCTGGTGGTATCTACTGAATACAGAACTCCATCTGAAATATCTAGTTTAGTTCTTCAAACAGCTTCTAAAAATCCATTTGTCTGAAGCACCTCCCCTGAAGGCTCAAAACCAAACGATGCCCGGCTCAAGGCAGCATTGGACCCATATCGGGTTTTTATATGGCCATTTTAACTACAATTCTACCTACACAGTCAAAGTCGTGTTTTGACTAAGATATCCGGTGTAAATCGTCTCTGTATGCTGTCTTTCATGATTCCTGATTTTTTCATGGGATCAAAATCATCAATATTATTATTTTTTTAAAAGCATCAACACTTATTTTGTGATTATATTTAACTTCTCTGCCTTTCTGTCTGTCTTTCTATTTTTTTCTTCTTGCGTAGGAAGGAGTTCTGCGAGCTGTGCCTTGCTAAGGACAGACAGACAGACAAGGTGTTTGTCTGCAAGAAATTCCTCAAGAAAGACGGCAGGAAAGTCCGCAAGGCTGCCAAGAACGAAATCATGATCCTGAAATTGTACGCAGTCGGCTTGTGGACAGATGGATGTATGATTTAGAGATGGAGAGAGGCGGAGGAATGACAGAATGATTTGCTATTTCAATATATATGTTATGAAGATGATTAATCACGCAAGCTATGCAATAACCACGGTTAATAATGTAAGCTCAGGTGTTTACTTAACACCTGAATTACGTCTAAACAATCTGTGATGTATTTAAGGATTTTAAAAGGCCAGAGAGTTACTCATATAGATGTTCACTCTTGTAAGGTTAAAGTCTGTGACTTCTTTTACTGCTCCAGGGTCACCCATCCAAACATCTTGCAGCTGATAGACACATTTGAGACCCGGAAAGAATACTTCATCATCCAGGAACTGTAAGGGTTAACTTTATTGTTTCACTATTTATCTTTTGTGTAGAATGGGCACTTATGTGTGTATGTCTTAATTGTGCATGTGCCCTAATGGGCCTTAACACACTCAAATCCATCAGCTAGTGGGTAGCGGTTGAGTCTGCCATCTTATTACTGTGTGCTCTGTTTCTTCCCTCAGCAACAGAGGAACTTGTTAGATATGATGAGGTATTTGCTCGTAGTAACGCTCAACTCTGTGCTCCTGAAGCTCTGCTTTGCCATATTACGGTCTCACAGAGGGTTTGGGATTTTAATGCCGGAGTGGGCCCATTCACTTACGACTATAGTACTTTTTTCAAATTTTCAAATTTATTTGAATGCAATAACGGAGACTTGGAGCTGAAAGGCAGAATGATTCCCCGGCTGGTGCTGAGGGACGTGACGCAGTCTGCTTTGTGTGGATCGGTTTTCTTATGAGTCGGTGTCTGTTTGCAGCTTGAACGTTTGCCCAGCCAATAGTCCTCCTGCTGAGGGCAATACGTGATGATCACACTCATTACAACACACTCTCTTGAGTTTACAAAGGCTTTTAGAGTAATGACCAATACGCTGATTTTTAATTGCTCAGCATTGGAAGCTTTGGGCCGGTAGAAACAGATTGCCTGTGCAAAAGGCTTTCGATAACAGTGTAACAGAAAGATTAAACCCTTATTTTGTTGCAACATGTGGTTAACAGTCCCACAACCATTTTATTTGTGCACATTTATTGCAGCGCGTGTGGTGATGTTGGTGTGTTTTTCTGTGCAGTGCCACAGGAGGAGATGTATTCGACTGGATTCTGGACCAGGGGAATTACACAGAGCGAGACGCTTCCAACGTCATCAGACAGGTCCTCGAGGCTGTGGCGTACTTACACTCCCTCAACATAGTTCACAGGAACCTTAAGGTACTTGCTCACTCTCTTTCTCCATTTTCCCAAATGACGGCATGTGCCACTGTAGTGAGTATCATAACAACAATCAGGTAAAAAGATGAAAAAGTGAATTGCCTTTTAAAAATCCAGGAAGAAATTTGTGGCAACTCTTCATCACATCCCCAAAAGTATTTCTGGTGTATAGTCGGACGAATCTCTTTGGAGACACATAAAAGCCATTGCACTTCAAACTCAGTTAATGACTCAACAGTTGATAATCTTTCTTGCAAGGGAGTAAACACAAGTTACACGGCTTAATACAGTCTGACATGATGCAGGCGCACAAAGAAAGATTAATATCTTGAGCCCCCATTAAAAACCGATTACGATGGGATTTCTTCATGTCTTGGGCTTCAGACTCCCCCTACTGGTAGAAGCTGTATATTGTGTATACATTATACACGTGTATAGTCTGGACTTGAGTATCCTGGGAACACATGAAATTTGATAAAAAGCAAAAAGCAATTCAAAGATATGTTTCTAGTCATTATTTATTTTTCTTCTAGCTAGTGGTTTATTTCAAGTTTATTTTAACAAGCTTGACATAGCTTGACATATCAAATCAGAAATACAGTCAGTCATACAGTAGTAATACAGTATACATATATATATTTATACCATGTCTATTTGGTGATTACATTGAATTGGCTTAAACTGTGATTTTTCAGTCCATATATTGAGCTGATATTCTGTGATCAAATTTCATTAGATTTAACCCTAAACCTTAAATTTCTACTGTGGCAGCTTTGCTTAGGCAAGACACCTGTTCAGTATTCTGGGTTGTTATGGATTGCTTTATTGTGCACTTGATCATGAAACATGAACTTGCTCCTATAGATCTCATATATTACCAGTGATTGTTGATTTCTTATTCAACTGTTTCTTTCTAACCTGCCAAAGCAATCATTGTACTGCGTTTTTAACTCCATATTACAAAAAAACATTTCAAACCTTTTGTAGAATGTTTGAAAGGATGCAACTTCTGGTCTGGTCACCTGTCATAAAATTGCCATGTAACAATAAAAAAAAGTCATTTTTTACTCATGGTGATCTTAAGAAGGGTTTGTGTTATATCAATCCATATGTACTTTATTTGCAGCACTGAACCAATTCAGTAGTGTGTAGTCTGTGTGTATTTGGATGAGAATGCTTTATTCTGTCTCTCATTTATTTCAGCTGGAAAACCTGATGTACTACACAGAAAACAACCACAACAAAGTGGTTCTGAGGGACTTCTACTTGTCCCGGTTTGAGAACGGACCCATCACAGAGCCTTGTGGAACACCAGAATACCTGGGTATGATACTCTCCTCTATTCGTATTACTGTATCATGTAGAGTATAACTTTACTTCTTGAGTATTTTTCCATTTCTCCTCCCCTCGTCATCCCACCACTGGCCGTGCATCCTGCCCCTGAGGGCTGTTTGTGAATAAAGCCCTGCAGGCATATTTTCTCTACTTGATGTTTTTTGTGCCTTTGAAGATCAAAATCTGTCAGAGATGAACAGTTATAGGGAAAAATATTCATAACACCAAGTGAAACAGCATTGAAGGGACCTAACTCTCTCCCTCCTCCAACACCTCCTCTCTTCATATCCTCTGATCTCACTCCCTTCACAATCACTCTCTGAGATTTATGTGAGGGCGACTTGGAGTACAGAACTTTGCCGTGACCTGACTCTCTCCAGTTAAAGGTCAGGATGGTTATTCATAGTTACCCAGCTGAGTTATTAGACAAATAAATAAGGTAAAGAGGCCCTGACAGCCAAGTATGTTTAGATATTGATTACCTTGACCACCTCGCCTTCATCATTTCTAGTATTGATTGTTAAAATAAACGTTGTTTCCCAGCCCAAAAAAAAAAACAGCCATTAAAATCTCTACTTCCTACGCATGTCTGCCCTTTCCTTTGTTGTCTTTCAGCTCCTGAAGTGGTGGCTCGTCACCGTTATGGTCGTCCCGTCGACTGCTGGGCTGTTGGTGTCATTATGTTCATACTGTGAGTCTCAGTGAAGTTACCAAAGCAAGCAGACCAATATCAACTGAGCTGCTATTTCAACTGAATAATTGCATTGTTAATAACTTATTCTATCCCTTATTAATAGGTTGTCAGGTAACCCTCCTTTTTATGATGAAATAGAGGAGGAGAACGCAGATCTACATAATCGTATCATCTTCTGTCGCATCGTTGCCGGGGAATTTGAGTTTGATTCTCCGTACTGGGATGACATTTCACCTGCAGGTACGTAGCTCCACCACACGATGGCAATACATACAAAGTTACATTTTCAATGACAATAGGCAACACAATTGGTAGTGAGAAAAGTATGTACAAGCTATTTAAGCTACTTTTGTCTCGCTCTTCACAGCTCAAGCAAATATTCCTTCATAATTTATAAAACACATTTTTTTAATCATAGATGCCCCTCAAATATACCCTTTGTCCTCATTGTTTCTCTCTCAGCTAAGGAGCTTGTCTGTCGACTCATGGAAGTGGACCAGATGCTGAGAATTACTGCACAGGATGCACTTTGGCACGAATGGTACATTGTACATTGTACATAAGAGCAAAAATAATTTGGCCCACGTCCACAGGGTTTGTACTCACTTGTATGCTGTCTGTCACCTGTGACAGGATTGCGGGGAACGGTGCATCAGAGAAGAACCTAAAGGATGGTGTGTGTGCCCAGTTTGAGAAGAACTTTGCAAAGGCCAAATGGCGGGTATGAATTCACTCTTACTCTCTTTCCATAGCAGTAAGTCGAGTTAGTGATACTAAAACCGTGCGAGCAACATAGAATTTGTCTATATACAAAGATCGCACAAGAGGAGCTTTAGCTCAACATACAAGTAGTGAACAGGTAGTGTATGTTTTTAAATTTCCGACTGATTTGGTGGTGGTCAAGGGGATGTCCTGGGGGAATGAATGCTGAAGACCAAGAAGGGGGAAGTCGAGATGGCACTGCTGACCTGACAGCATAAGTAACAGTTATAACCCTCTTCTCTCTTTCCCCATATGGTTCCCAGGATTTGAAGGTATCGTAGTTCATTAAGGGTGAGAGTGGAAGGACAGAGCATGGGCAGAAAATCACCTTCAGTCCGGCATGAATCAATAACAAAACATCTTTCTAATAGCTGATCGACCTTGCGAATTAAGGTTTCTATTGGCAAAGGTGTTTACAGTAATATACCAATCGTCCCAAACCTTTATCAGCTTTATGATGCGTTGACCATGTTTGGGCCGGTGAAACTCTACTCAGAGGCTCTGTTCCTGCCCACTGTCACTCCTGTCCTGTCCCAGAAGGTACCCATCCACTCTGCCCCACTTTTCTTCATTGGATTATAGCCCAGATGTTCAAAGTGGCCCGCTCTGCTCCTTTCTTACTCCTCATCTGCACTAGTCTATGAAATCAGATTGGTAAAAACAACATTATGACCAGGAACAGGGAAGAGGGTGTCTCATTGCTTGTTTGGTTTTTGTGTAGATACGGGGAGGGAGAAACGGAAACGATGTAAGGGATGTAGGCCACTGTGGGCTGTTGAACAGTATTTATATGACCTGTAAGGCCCTCTGTCATTCCTGTTACGCGAATCCTGGCTCATTGACCCATACTGTAGCTCAGTGTTACATTCAAGTCATACTTGAAGCTGTACAGAAGCTTTTCCGTTAAGCCATGTTGTATTCAGTGGCATTTCTGTGTCCAAATGGCTACTCACTTCCAGAGAATCTATTCCCTGGTTTAGAAACAACTTGTGAGCTCACGCATTTTCCAGAACTCCTTAAGTGTTTGTAAAATGAAAGGATGTGTTGATACTCCTTTTCTAGACAAGCAGTCAAGGAGTGGCTTGGAGAGAATGAGTCTTGGGGTTGATTTAAACCAGTGTGCAATGTGTCATAACATCCTGGAAGTAAACAACTGGCACTAATCTTACCGCACTGTCTCTTCACACGAATTACATCTCAGCGCCCAGTATGATGATGTGGTTGTCTTCAAACCTTATTTTCAATGCTTTGCAATAACCAACTATAGCATAAAGATTTATTGTATTTTTTAGGGAAACAAGTCAATATTGGTGTTAATTTTAAAAAAGTAACAGTGAAAATCTAGTTGTCTTCACACAGCTATCCTTCTCTCCTTTTTTCTTTGCCTCTGTCTGTTTTTGCAGAAAGCGATCCGCGTCACCACCTTCATGCAACGATTAAAGAATTCAGAAGCACTGAATGACAGTTCAGCCGAGGCTCAGGGCAGTGAGGAGGCAGGAGATGGTGAAGGCGGTATGTCCCAGGGCGCAAGTGATGAGGGAGACAAAGGTACAAGTGATGGAGGGGTTACTTCAAGTAGTGTGTCTTCAGAAGTTACTGTTGAAAATACACCGGTCGGTATGGACCAGAATGAGGGGAAGATTAAGGTCAATGAAAAACAGGATGAGGTGAAGATGAGTATAGGCCCGTCGGTGGGAACATCCCCATCAGATATTATTGAGCCTTCATGTCAACAAACCAAAACAAACGCAGACCCCAGAGTTGCACAGGAGGAGCCTGATAAGGCCAATGCAAAGAAAACCGCTAGCGATGGAACGAGGAAAATGGCTGCCAATTTGGGTCAAAACGAAGTTGTTCCAGAATCTAAACCGACGCCCGTGATGACACCTGACCCTTCCAAGCTTTCGGACTCTTCTTCGGGCATTATACGCCCATCCGCCTCCCCTGATCCCAGCGGCAAACGCAAGATGGCCGCCACGCTCCATGGCCTTCCGCCCGCAGGTGGAACCGGCTCAACGGAGAAGAAGCCACCCGCCCAGAGGGAGCGGAAGGTTGAGACTGACGGAAGCTGGTGCCAGACCCAACTTCCCGAGGCGGTGGCAGAGCGGTCCGTGGCGGCCACTGGAGCACTCGGGCCTGGAACTGGGGTGGATGTAGGAGCAGGAGTTAGGCTGAGGGGTGATGCCAGCCCTGCAGGTAGAAGGGACAGGGATGCCAGAACAACAGACCGACACAGCGCTGAGTTTAACCTAGCGAGGCCAGGTCCTGCAACAGGGCAGGGTTGTTATACCGTAGGGAGCTCTGCTAGTTTAGGCCGTCATACAACCCCATACAATCCAGAGATTGCTAGTGTAGGGATGGGGATGGCAGGGAGCTACGGGAGTCCGTACTGTTCCTTGTACACAAGCGGAGGAGGGATGTATGGGACCGGGCTGCCACATGGAGGAGGCGGGAGCAGCGCTACAAGCGACTGGCAGATGGACAGTGTGATCGAGGCGATAGAAAAGCAAATGGCCGCAGTGCTGGAGAAGATTGAGGGAGACATGCCCTCGCTGCTCGAGCAAATCAGTGACTGTCCTGCTGAGGCACCGCACGCCAGGAGCACGCACGCCTCGCCTGCCGCGTCTCGCGCACGCTCCTCGCAGCACTCCACGGCCGCCGCCTCAGCCACTCCGCCGCCTCTTCCAACTTCTCCGAGGCCAGTGTTGCCGTCTATCCCTCGCTTCACTATCCCTCCACCCTCTTATCCTCCACCCTCCCCACCCACACAATCCTCCCCACGGGGTGCAGGAGAGCAGGAAGAGACAGATGGACAGAGGAGTGCTGCTTGTTCCAGCCAGTCCCCCAGAGCTGGGATGAGTAGGGGGCTATGAGGCAGATGTCTGTGATGCAATACACGACACCTGGAACATTATACATAGTTTGATTTTGAGGTTTTCAAAACTCTCTCCCAGAGGTTACATCCAATTACTCCCAGAAAAATGGTAACAATGCGCTGTTGTTTGATTTGGCTGTGTGTTCATATTTAGAATATATTAGTTTTGAGAAAACTCCCTGAGGCATTCAAATACTCGCATGACTTGAGCGTACTGGAAGTATCATAGTGTACTGTATTTCTCTGTAGGACAACTACAAAGACAAAGAGAGTATGTGTCTCAAATCCAGATTGTGCGCATGAATGCTTACCACACAACTTCCTCATACTGGAATCTTAGGACTCAGCGCAGGTAGCAAAGAATTGATCTACACAAGTGAGAATAACGAGGTAACAATCTCAACTAATTGTGACAGTTACAGTAAGGACGTTTTGCATTATTACGTTATTATGTTTTTGCATTATTCCCTACAGAATGTATATACATACAAAGAATGGGATTCTTAACTCTTCTCCAATGCCTGTGTTGTAAACCTTGCATATCCAAACTGACATTTACTTTTTTCTAATTGGCTAATCCGAGTTCGTTCTTTTATTGTTCCTTTTTTATGTAGCTATTCATTATATAGTAAGGCTTCAGAACCGTGAGCTTGCAGTCACAGTACAAACATTTGTGAAAATTACCTCATTAAGCCGTTTCATCAGCTGCTGGAGATAGGGATTTATTTAACTGTATACTGTATTTGAACCTGTCACTCAAAGTCTTGTGAGTTGCTCCACACCTGTTGAAGAGTTGTGGAAGATTTTAAGACACAATATATTGTGTAAAGGCTTTGCAATAACACACACACACACACACACACACACACACACATACTCACAGACACACAATTACTCCTTTACATGAACTTTTTCAATGTTCTCCAAAGTTTTTGTCCGGAAAGTTTTCAATTGTATTCGGTTTTGTCATAACATTTGTTTGGTAGGCCTACTGGCATTTGGACTGGTGTAGTCTATCTATGATCCTTTTTATCATGTAAAAATATTTCTGAAGTTCATTCTGCTTTTGGATCTATGTCATACCAAGTTGTGTGCTTTTGTCCCAAACAATTCTAGACTTCCACTTCTCTGTCCCTATGTAAACTGTGCTCTGTCTTTCAATAAAAGTAACAAAAAAAGCTAAATCTGGTCTCGTTTCATTTGTTTAAAGCTGTTGGGCCTGAGATGTTAAAAACATATTTTCCCTATGAATGTACAATGTAAGAGTAAATACATCTATGTTTTTTATAAGCAGCTAACCGTTATCCAACAATTTCACACCGAGGCATCAAATTATCACGCCAAGACTACAAATCCCATCTGTCCCTGCGTCAATTTCGGATTAGCCTATACTTGTAAAGGCAGGGGGGTGGAGATATTTTGTTCACATTTAACATGCAATCAAACCCTTCAGTAGTATTTCATTCAACACATTTTACAGTCTGTCTAGAGTGATTGAACATTAAAGAGGAAGACTAGAATGTACATACGAGAAATAAATTAGAATCACTTTTCGGTGGACCCTCTGTACGGGAATAGTGGTTGTGACTGTAACGTGCACATGTTGCTGCTTTGCTTTGCCTTCAACTGAAATAGAGTGAGGGGAAACGGTTCTGGAACAGCCGGTCAGGCAGCCGTCCAGCGGAAAAACTCACACAGAGCCCGCCACACTGAAACACTTTTCAGTTCCCCATCAGCAGCCGTGTTGATTTGCCACATTGTTTTTTTAGGTTTCTTGCTTAAATACAAGCCGATTTTAATACTACAGATCAGGCCGAGTAATATCGGATGTGGTAAGTTCTGCACACTTGTGTAAGCTCTCGTCTTGGTAGTGTTAGCTTCAGCTAGTTGGCTAACATTAGCTAGTTAGCTAACATAGCGGCACAAGTAGGGGAAAAAGTCGTTGGCTGGCTAGATAGCTCGAAAGCTAACCGCACACAAGCTAACAACTACGCAGTCGTTTGATCTGCGTTATTGGTAGTCGTTAACGTGTGTTACTCGTGGCTAGCGGAACCCTTTCAACGGGGCGCCTCGGCTATCCGTAGCTAAGGCACCACAGGAAATTAACCGTTAACTCTAAACTGGGATTTGCACATTGCATGTGTACCAGAATGCTGTGTTAATTATTGTTATGTGATGAATACCGTTAACAAGCCGATGGGCTACATGCCTCCAAACATCAACTTGGACGAACGCGATGCCTTTAGAAAGAAAAAAGCTAACTTGTATCACGAAACGTTTGCTAGTACGTATGGACCAACGTTATATTTCATCACGTGTCAACATGACCACTAGCGTTGATAACGTTACCATATTATCGTAATATTAGCCAGTAACGATTTCTCCTATTGGCTTGCCAAGTTAATAAGTCTGTTAACGTGACATTTTGTATCAATAAGTGTCGTTTGCGATCATTTTTTAAAATATTTTTCATTTCGCTATGAAGAGATGATAATGGGGATCCCCTCGACATGTGTACCCGAGAATATGCGGCCCACTCTTTCCCTGGGCCTTTGTCATATACCAGGGACCCCCTCCCCCAAAACTCCTCCTCTGCAAGGAATGCTCACCCCTAACCTCAATGTGACTGAGGGCCCAGACGCTCAGCATCACTCCACTTAGCGAGTAGCTTACCTACTGCTGTACCTGTCTTTTATCTCTGGGGAACCATCAGGGTTAAACTGAGCCAGACTGGACCCGGGAAAGAAAAGTCAAATGTCTCGCCGATCGCTGATCAGCGTTGCAATGGGAATTATCGAACTTGGTTAATAAACCGTAAGATGTTAGTCTTAAGTATGCTGCATTATGTCACGTCTAAGTTCTGTGTTGTAGTCTGGTTCCACAATGAGATTTCATTAAGCACCGATAGATGGATAGTTACGGTGAACGTATTGCAAAAACAGTCAGCGTTTGGCTCTTCCGCTTGTCTGCCAGGCGAGGTGTGTGCGCCTTTTTATATATATGTATATTTTTAGAGCTGTTGCAATATGGTTCTTTCGCCTTTTTTTGTAACGATATGTGGTCCTCCCGGTCATTGTACAGCAATATAACTAACGTGCATCTTCGGGTCGCGAGGGCGGGTTGAGAGCGCGTTGGCTTCCGCACAGCAGCCAATGAGCGGAGCTCGTGGCCGGGCAGCGTGCTGACAGTCACCCTTTCCTGTTGAATATCTCAGCCCCTGCGTCACCGCCCCTTTCTCCCAGCTGCCATTTTGGTTTTGTTCCTGTCTGCAGTCGCAAAGCCAGCAACGCAATCACACAGAAGAGACTCTCGGCACAACGACATAGTGACTCGACATAATAGCGCAGACTGGCCTGATACCGCATCGTGTTTCTTTTTCTTCGTGCCGATCGTCGAACTCTTCATTCATCGATATTACTGACATCTAGACACTGCGGGCGAGGAGTGGGTTCGCATTGGGTAGGAACCGAGAAGGATTATTGGTAAGAAACGAGAAATCACTGGAGCACGAGTGCAATGGCTAACGTTAGTCTTTCTTTTTTTTTCTTGTTTCGCTGTTAACAGTTTGATGGTAGTTTTATTTAGTCTTTGTCACATTAAGCCGTATAAAACGAAGGCGTTTCGCTGTCTGTCTGAGGAACAAGCCGTTGCTGTCTTTAGCGAGCAGGTAAAGCACAGCTAACGTTGGGTTCGCTAGCTTGTAAAGTTGTGTTCCGCTGTGTGTGTGTGTGTGTGTGTGTGTGTTGGGGGGGGGGTGCAGGCCTTGCCCGAGCTGGTGTCGTTACGGGCAGACTAGCTGGGTGGTGGTGGTGCTTTTTCTTTTAGCTTAAGTTATTAATGTCCCGGCTGGGTCCATTTAGCCAAGCACGTAACCTGAACTGATCAGTAGCACGCGACCTACCGTTCTTATTCAATCGGCCGTAACCGCATCTCAGCCGTCTAAAGATGCAAAATGGCTCATCCCGGTTATCTAGCGCTACGGTTATATTTTATTATTTTTATACAAAGCGCTAGCGCAGCTGCTTTGTGCGGTGCTGTATCATGTCCGGTTCCTTCATTTTCGTTTTTAACAAACGGCGGCCCTTCCTCTTATAGTCGATATGTGACTATGTGTAGTTGTAGTGTTATTGTTGAATACTTGCCCCGAACCCAGAACCGACTGTAAGGTTTTGTTTTTTTAAGGGGGGTCAGTTTGACTTTTAGGAAGCGAGTCGAACAGCCTTTTGATGCGGAAATTGTCGGTGATGGCGTTCACCGTGCGGCGGCGAGGTGTACGACACACTGCGGCCTGCTTCACCTCCCGGTGGGGGGGGGACTGGATTTGTCAGGATTGTGCCGTTTAATCACAGCGTGACGTTACCAAGATATTATCTTGGCAAAGATTATGCTGGCAGCAGTCCTGCTCGAACTGCAGACCTACGGCGCTCGTGTTCCATAACTGCAGGCCACTGCGAGGTGTTGCTCACTTTACCGCAGTGAAGTTTTAACGATTCAGCTCTTTTTGAAACGATGTTTGCGGCCGGTACAATGAACAATAGCAGTGACCAGCCAGGCCCGTCGCTGAGCATGGATAGCGATAATGCTGCTATTCATTGCCCTTCCCAGGGTCTGTGCGTTTTTCTAGCAGACCGGTGCTTGGACTGAAGCCAGCCCAGCTGCTCCCTCGACTAGAAATCCTCTTCAACATTAAGGGGATTGGATAGCACTTAGCTTGGATACTCTTTTGTTATAATGGAAGTGTGGCATTAAGTCAGATGTGTTTCACTAATTTGTAACTTGGTTTGACGTCATTTTTCTTTTATGTAATCATTGAAGCAGTTGTGTTATCAGTTAATAAATTAATTAATCTAAAGTTCTAGAAGTGTAGTGCGGATGTGGAAGAGTCTTAACGGGGCGTGTTGTTGCACAGATGTCCAGCTCGCCGCTGTCCAAGAAGCGTCGCTTGTCAGGAACAGAGACGAAGACGGGATCCCACTGCTCCTCCTCTAACTCTGTCAGAACTGATCTGTCCCACACACCTGCCAACGTAAGCACTAACCCATAGCAGACACTGTACAGCTTTGGTAAAGCTTGTTTAAACTAATTTCAACCTCTTTTTCTCCCAGGGCATGGCTAAGAATGGCAATGATGCTGAGATCGACGAAGGCCTGTACTCCAGACAACTGTAAGTGATCTGTGTCACCTTTATCCTAGTAAAGAAAAACTGACCCACTTTTTGAGCTGGCTGTTTAACAATGCTCATGGTACTTTCTTTCTATAGTTACGTGTTGGGCCATGAGGCTATGAAGCGAATGCAGAACTCCTATGTCCTTATCTCTGGTATGAGAGGTCTTGGAGTGGAGATAGCCAAGAACGTCATCCTGGGAGGAGTCAAAGGTGTCACTGTGCACGACCAAGGAGTAGCAGAATGGAGAGACCTGTCCTCTCAGGTGTGTGGAGGCATGCACACATACTCACATATTTCCAGTGTTTTTTTCTTTTTTCAAACGGCGGTTCACTCTGACTTCTTTATTGGAGATGCTTCTGGTGTGCGATTTATCTTTGAGCCTGATTCCAAGTCCAGTGTGGTTGTTATGAGTCTTTCCGTAGCATTGTTGCCATCCAGAAAGACTATTGCAGCCGGCCCCGCCTTTGTTAGCCATGGGCTGGCCCAGATTTATCAGTGGGTGGCCTCTCTTTGGGTCATAATCATAGAGCTAAAGCCTGTTTTAGGGCATCATTACAGCGGACCAATTGTTTATGTCTGCAAGCCTGTGGGCTTGAATTCTGATGTCTATTTCGGGCCGGACAGATGCCGTTGTGAATAGAATGCTCAGGTGTTCAATCAGGAGGCTCAGCGAAGATCCCTCCTGACCGTACAGAAGTGTATGATTGCATGTGTAAGCTCCATATGGGATTGCTTGGTCTTAGCTTCTTAGCTTAACCATTTTAGTCTTCAGTATTTATATTTTAGTCACTGGCATGTGCCTTTAGTTTCATTTCTCATTTAAAGAGACATTGAGTTGCCTATTTATATTTCTATATTTGGCTATTGGACATGCCCTCCGTAGAAAATTTAAAGCATATTTTTGTGGTTTGGTTGTTTTAACGTGAATTGGGAACCTTTCTGAAATGTCTTAGTATCACCAAAATCAGTTTGAAATAAGTGGTTTTGACAAGGTATGTCTGTATCCTTGGGTGGATGTATATTCTTAACTGCAATATCTGGCAAAGAAGCTTGAATGATCTGGTAACAGATATTCTGTGACACGTGATATATTTTTGGGGGTCAGTTTTACCTTCGGGAGGAGGACCTGGGGAAGAACCGAGCGGAGGTGAGTCAGCACCGTCTGGCGGAACTCAACAACTACGTTCCTGTAACCGCCTACACCGAAGCCCTCACTGAAGACTATCTGACCAAGTTCCAGGTATAATTGAGACCAAACTTTTGCCCCAGTCAGTTCAGCCGTCGGAGAGGAAGGTTGGTGTTTAATTTGGTCTCTTGTTGCGTCCTAGGTGGTAGTGCTGACAAACTCCACTCTGGAAGAGCAGCAACAACTGGGAGACTTCTGCCACAACAAAGGAATCAGTCTGATTGTCGCAGACACACGTGGTCTGTTTGGGTAAGCTTATGATCCTTGTTGTTTAATCATTTACATGTAATGTAACTCGCACTGTCAGTGTCTAATGTGCATCTTTACTTTTTGTTTTGTAGCCAGTTATTCTGTGACTTTGGTGATGAGATGTTGGTGTTTGACACAAATGGAGAACAGCCGTTGTCTGCTATGATTTCCATGATAACCAAGGTCAGTCCTTTGAATCTGAAATATGTTCTAACCTCTTGCTGCTGAGTGAGGACACATTTTCTTTTGAAACCAAACATTGTATGCTTTTTGTTTCTCCAGGACAACCAAGGGGTTGTGACATGTCTTGATGAGGCTCGTCATGGCTTTGAGAGTGGAGACTATGTCACCTTCACAGAGGTCCAGGGTATGACGGAGCTCAACGGCTGCCAGCCGGTGGAAATTAAAGTTCTGGGTAAGACGTTTTTCTATTTAAAGAAAAAAGGTTTTGGTCGGTGCAGTCGTTGGTGTAACAAATGTACATGATTTTGCCTCTGTCCAGGTCCCTACACCTTCAGCATCTGTGAGACAACTGGCTTTACAGATTATATAAGAGGAGGAATCGTTTCCCAGGTCAAGATGCCCAAGAAAATCTCCTTTGTAAGTAGCTGTCTTTTCCACACGTTAATTATATGTATATTGACCAGTGGTCCCCAAACTACTACCCCACTACCATTGAAGCGTGGCATAGTGGTGGGGGGGGGGGGGGGGGGGTCCCCCTTTTTTAAATTACAAAAACGGTTCCCAAAAATTTTCCTTTGCCGGCCCTATCGGGATTTTTGAACACAGATTTGCTTTTAAATGCAGAAATCCATCTCTCTCTCCATTGGTGAACCGAAGATCCTACTGGCAGAATTTTGCCAGATTGAGCATGCCGGACAAACTGATGTAGGCCTCCCGGCTATTCAATGCTTCCAGGAAGAAACACACCGCCTTCCTGCCCCTTGGAACCAGGCATGTCTTTATGAAATATTATAAATGGGGGGGGGGGGGGGGGGACAATTTGATCAATGTTTGATGTATTAAATTGGTAGAATAACAATCCAAAAAGTTTTTGTGAATAACTTTTTAATTGCATGAAAAACTAATCGTTGACAGACTACCTGTGATTCTTTTTGTAGTACTGCATGTCAATGTTTACTCAATTCTATTAATGATTATTCTGAACCATTTTTTGTAACTTACTGAGCTGTGGATTCCAGGCTGATGGAGATGAGCTATTGACGTTAGCCAAAGAGGTGAACTCTGCTCAGGCGGGGTCAGCCAAAGTGGAGCAGTTGGATGAAGCGCTTATCAAAAAGCTGTCTTTTGTTGCTGCTGGTGACCTGGCTCCTGTCAATGCCTTCATTGGAGGTCTGGCTGCACAGGAAGTGATGAAGGTCAGTAGTGCACTTTTGAGATCTAATTTAGATGGACTTGTGAATTATTTACTCAATTCTACAGTTGTATAATATAGGGTTTAAATTTCAATATATCTAGACAAGCATGTCATGAATACGACGTCAATTTAAGATTAGGGATTATAAAGGACAGATTAACGGAAAATCTAGATAATGCCGTTTTCATGATCTGCTGCTCCACTAGTCAATAGAGTATAGGAATAAAGGTAAAGAACCTAAAGATGCATCACGTAGCACAACACCCATTAACTTATGGCCAAATTAAGCGGAAAGTAATATTACTAGTTTTTGTCACATACGGCTTGCAATTTTCATTTTTATTTGCCATTTGTTGTTTTAGGCATGCACTGGAAAATTTATGCCAATAATGCAGTGGCTGTACTTTGATGCCCTGGAGTGCCTGGCTGAAGAGGAAGGAGTCGAGCTCACGGAGGAAGAATGTGCCCCAGTAGGTGTCCAGAGCACATCACACCCTTGTACTGAGGACAGGCGCACATGATGATGAAGCATTGGTGTTAAATCTATCTTGCTGTCTCGTTTTCTTCCAGAGGAACTGTCGATACGATGGGCAGGTTGCCGTCTTTGGCACAAAGCTGCAGGAAATGCTTGCCAAACAGCGCTACTTCCTGGTAAGTCCGCCATGGAAAAAACTTTGCCACACAACTCCCTGTTGCCCTGTTTGCTAATGGAACTTTAAAATGATGGTGATCATCAAGCATCTCCTGGAAAGAGTGACTGGAGGAGCCAGTTAGTGTCTCGGTGTCAGTCCTCAGCAGCGCGGATCCATGTCCTCAAACTTGCATGGACAAAATGTCTCACGCCTGAGATCTGTGTTTACGCCTTGTGTGGATGGCTCACGCCCGTGTGAACAGAGCTTCTCCTTTAGTCATCCTTGTGTTTACAGACCATTGTCGCTCTGATCCATACGCATTCCCCCTCTCAGGTTCAAAATGCAGTTGAACTGCAGATTATTTACAATTTAGTGTTTAACATCAACGTGTGAAGTAAAGGTTTTGCTGGTGATCAGTCAAATATGCCATCAGCATTCATATTATTGTCGCCAATCTCTTATAACTTGTAAACAACCAGTCTGTGTTTTGGCGAGCACCTTAAATTCTGTTCTGTAGTATTTTCACAACAATATAAATGTCATAGAGGAAATGACTTGTTTGCTCTACCCATAAGCCGCTCATAATACATCCCGGGAATTGTTTTTATGAAGACAAACACTAGATGACCTTAGAGTATATAAGGATACAATTTGGAATATCTGACTTTAAACTGACTTCAGAGTTGGTGAAATTTATTTAATTGTGGCATTGAGGTCTGCCGCTTTGACCAGCTGCTATAGGGTAACAATTGGATCTGTATCTGACAATATGGATCATCAATGATCAGCAATTAATGTCTGTAGCCAAATGTGATCTTGGATTTCCAGAAGTAAAAAAAACATGTATTTTTTTATTTATGACTCCAAACCGTGACTTGTATAGTCTGTGGTGCACAATAATGATGCAAGGTGACTTCTGTCATTTTTGGTGGATTTGACCAAAACGTATGTAATCAAAAAGCCTTCCTCCAACAGATGTTTGATCAATGTCTTCTAATGGCACATACAGTGAGCGTTACTCACTGAAATGGGTTTTATCATTCCAGGTAGGAGCTGGGGCCATTGGCTGCGAGCTGTTGAAAAACTTTGCCATGATTGGACTGGCAAGCGGGGACGGCGAGGTCATTGTGACGGACATGGACACCATAGAGAAATCCAACCTCAACAGACAGTTCCTCTTTAGACCCTCCGATGTTACGGTCAGTGTCATCTTTGCGTAACCCTGTCTGACTGTAGCTATTGCGTATATAGTGCACATTGGCCATTTATAGATTGGATTTCATAGTTGCAGTGCCAGTTATGGATTTCCTGTTTATTGTAACTGTCCGAGTTGTCTTTCTCGCTATCTATGCTGCTGATGCAACCTTGATTATAAAGGACTTCAAATAATTCCCAGTGTACAGTTCCTGGTGTTTTTTTGTGTGGGGACCACAAATCAGCCAATTGAGAATGCTATACTGGTTTTAATCTGGCCAGTTGCCACACTAATACTTTGTAAGTGGTGATGAAAGTGTAACTGACTATTAATATCATCCCTTTCTGCTAACAGAAAATGAAGAGTGACACAGCAGCTGCTGCCGTGAAGCAGATGAACCCGTCCATCAGGATCACAGGTCATCAGAACCGGGTGGGCCCCGACACAGAGAGGGTCTATGACGATGACTTCTTTGAAAGCCTTGACGGAGTGACTAATGCACTGGACAACGTTGATGCGCGTAAGAGACACCAATGATTTCAAATCTTGTTTGCTTAAAACAAAAAAAATATGACACTTGACTCTTGGAAACCATACATCACCCTCATTGTTGTCTGTGCCCATTTGCAGGTATGTACATGGATCGGCGGTGTGTGTACTACCGTAAACCCTTACTGGAGTCTGGTACTCTGGGAACCAAAGGCAACGTCCAGGTTGTGATTCCCTTCCTCACAGAGTCATACAGCTCCAGCCAAGACCCGCCCGAGAAGTCCATCCCCATCTGTACCCTCAAAAACTTCCCGAATGCCATTGAGCACACACTGCAGGTCAGTGGATGTACAGAATGTATATGGTGCATACGTTATCGTGGTGCGTATAGATGCATTGAATGTCGAGCTGTAACAGCTTTTAGTAGGAATGTATTTGAAGTGTCTAACGACACTACAAGCCACTCATCAAATAGTAATATCGCGCGTAAACTGTAAAAAGTGAAATTGAGTAATAGATTTTATTTCCCAGACATAGATCGCACAGTAGATCCGAAAGAAATGTACTGTACTTTCGATTAAGTGAGTTGGATGGATGATTGATCTTTCCTCAACAATGCCTTTTTTTCCAGTGGGCCCGCGATGAGTTTGAGGGGCTGTTCAAACAGCCACCAGAGAATGCCCAGCAATTCTTGTCGTGAGTTGCATTCATTTACATACCAAATTGATTGTTTGTATTTGATGGTACTTTTAAGATATTTTTTTTTTAGTTAATTAAGACATTTGAAAAAACACTTTTTCCTTAATAAGAAGTCCTGTATTAGTGGAATTTTCGTAGTTTTCTATTCAGTACTTCTGAACTTGCCTTGTCGCAGTTCCATAACGGGGCTAATGTAGGTCATGCTATTTTTCTAGGGTTTGATATTTAGGAGAGCGCTCTTTTGTAGTACTTTAAACTGATTTCAAAAGTCTAAATCAAATTCTTTTAAGTCTGAACAACAAGAAAAAAAGTGTTTGTCAGCTTGTGAAGTTTATGACCATTATTCTTACAGAGATCCTAAATTCATGGAGCGCACTCTGAAACTTCCCGGGGCTCAGCCTGTGGAGGTGCTGGAAGCGGTTTACAAGAGTCTTGTCACAGACTGCCCCCACAGCTGGGCTGACTGTGTAGCCTGGGCACGCAACCACTGGCAGTGCCAATACAGCAACAACATCCGCCAGCTACTGCATAACTTCCCCCCAGATCAGGTACAGACGGAGCTCACTCCCCCAAGGAAAGCCCAGTTTACCCTCCACGCTACCAGTTAATTTCTCACTACCATCCCAAATATTCATTTCAGCGGTCCGGAAATCTGTTAACAATCATTCCAAATCTATCAATATACTTTTTCGGTGTCATCTTTGGTCAAATGTATTCAACGTGCTTTGCGTTGATGCAACACTTTATGAGAAGGGCTGTCGGCACGCAGTATAATACGAATATTGTCGTGCCGGTGTACTTGCAGTCTTAACTCTGCTCATGTTTCATTGAGATGCTGAAAAGAAACTGCTTAAGTCGGGGGCTGAGGTTAACATTAACCTTCAACTTGATGTCCCAGTTTTATCATTCAATGAAATTCTTGTAATGGGGAACCAATTATAGAATATTAATTCTTTACCTGGTCTTCAGTTTTGTATTTTAATGATAGATTTGATGCTTGTTTGTCTTTCAGCTAACCAGCTCTGGTGCCCCCTTCTGGTCCGGCCCAAAGAGGTGTCCTCATCCACTTGAGTTCAGCACTAGCAATGTGAGTAGGGGTCAATGTTTCTTCTGTATTCCTACTAGACCGTTCTCTGCTGCGGTCCACCCAGTCCCAGGATAGTGACGGGAGTGCCCTCTTTTGTAGGAGCTGCACATGGACTATGTAGTGGCAGGCGCAAACCTCTTCGCCCAGTCATACGGCATGCCGGGCAGCACCGACCGTGCAGGTGTGATAAAGATCTTGCAGGATGTTAAAGTGCCCCCCTTCACCCCACGCTCAGGGGTTAAAATCCATGTCTCAGACCAGGAGCTGCAGAATAGCAATTCCTCTGTTGGTAAGATGCATATTCAGCTATAACATGTTTCATGTTGATGATCATGTTGTCGTGAGACACATGAACAACGGATTTATTGTTTTTGTGTAGATGACTGCAGACTGGAGGAGCTGAAGGTGCAGCTACCGTCCCCAGAGACTTCCAACTTCAAACTGAACGCCATTGACTTTGAGAAGGTTGTCTTTCTAATAGATTCTTCTCTGGAATCGATTCAATTTCACTGTTGGTGCTCGAAGTAATCTGAACCCACGCTAATTGTGGTATTTTTTTTTTTTTGTGATGGTTGTTTACCCCATCTAACAGGATGATGACACCAACTTCCACATGGACTTCATCGTAGCATCATCCAACCTGAGAGCAGAGAACTACGACATTCCCCCCACAGACAGACACAAGGTGGGCACATTTCTATGGCATTGCCTTATGTTAAAATGAAATGATTTTTAGATGTTTTGAGCTCCGATGATGATCCCGCCATGCTAATACCGATACACCAGGCGGATGCTTGTTGTCCGTCTGGGTGTAAGTGAGTTCTACTCACCTTCTCATGCTGATGCTATCAGTGTGTGCTGAGGAGAAATATTACTTTTAACTGTTCTTAATGTGTTTTTAGCAGAGTGCAGCAATAACTGGGGGCTGTTTTTCATTAAAACACTTTTACCAATGTTTATTAACATTTTAATGTAGGTTATATACATTCAGAGCTCTGAATAACAGTATTTCATTTAGTATTATGATTCATGAAATGATTATTTTAAAACTAGATGTTGGGTTTCTGTTTTTGCTGAGGCTTGTTGGCCTTTGGTAAACAGGGTTTGGTATCTCGTCACTGATCAGTCCGCTAATTATTATGGGGAAAAAATTATAATTTAGCGATGTACCGAGATGGCATTTGATTGAAACATCACTGCACAAAGTCTCCAAGACACGTGGCAAATAGATGGTTGCTAATCGTCATATTACTCTCATGAATGTCTGAGTTTGTATCTGTATTAAATGTACAGGTTCTGTAAGTTGTGCAATTAGCAGTTCTGTTAATCTCATTTATTAAATAAATCTGTTGAACATGGGTAAAAGATACTTATACTGGCTTCCATGAAAGCACAGTGAAATCAATAGTTTGATAGAGGGAATGTGCGACATCTAGTGGCTGAATATCAAAGTCACTTTTATTGGCTCCGTGTTGAGGCGACCTTGTGAGTGCCACCGGTCAGCACTGTTATCATTGGTAACCGCGGTGCAGTGTGACCTGAACCTGTGGCTTTAGAATTTGGCACTTTTTTAAAACTCCTTTCTTTCTTGTTCTCATCACAATGCAGAGCAAACTGATAGCAGGCAAGATCATTCCTGCCATTGCCACCACCACGTCCGCAGTGGTGGGTCTGGTGTGCCTCGAGCTCATCAAGATCGTCCGAGGACACAAGAAGCTGGAATCCTTCAAGAACGGCTTCATGAACCTGGCCCTGCCTTTCTTCGCCTTCTCTGAGCCCATTGCTGCTCCCTCACACAAGGTGGGTCGCCGTTGGAGCTGCTTGGATGTTACCCGCTAAGAGGATTCACGATGGGTCTCCACTGGAGGAAATAATGTCCCCTTTTCAATCCTCAAGATGTTAAGTGTCAGCTCTGAAACGCTGCCCAAGAATTGCCATTCAATGTTTTGAGCTCCGATGATGATCCCGCCATGCTAATACCGATACACCAGGCGGATGCTTGTTGTCCGTCTGGGTGTAAGTGAGTTCTACTCACCTTCTCATGCTGATGCTATCAGTGTGTGCTGAGGAGAAACATGGCTTTTAACAGGACCCTGGTCTTAATCTGTCGTTTAGCATAGAGCAGTAATAACTGGGTGCAGTTTTTTTTAAGGTCTCTCTGTGACTGGCATCAATCCATACTCTTTGTTTCTGCAGTACTATGACAACGACTGGACGTTGTGGGATCGCTTCGAGGTTGCTGGCATGCAGCCCAACGGCGAGGAGATGACACTCAGACAGTTCCTGGACTACTTTAAAGTGCGCTCTCCTCAGATCCTTGGCCCTTAACCCCCACGTGGTTTCCCACCCACAACTAACCGACCTTTTTTCCCGCTGTTCTCAGAATGAGCAGAAGTTGGAGATCACCATGCTTTCTCAGGGAGTGTCCATGCTCTATTCCTTCTTCATGCCTGCTGCCAAACTCAAAGAGAGACTCGACCTGCCGTGAGTATTCCTCAGTATTTCCTAGATCAAACACCTTAACCGTTAAAAAAACTGATTCACTGTCATAAGTGCATTCTCCTGTGTCTTGTAGGATGACGGAAATTGTCACCAAGGTGTCCAAAAAGAAGCTGGGCAAGCACGTGAAAGCCTTGGTGTTTGAGCTGTGCTGTAACGACCTGTCGGACGAAGACGTGGAAGTGCCCTACGTCCGATACACCATCCGCTGAGCTCCACGCTGAACCCACCCACAGGAGGGTGGGAAGTGCAGGAGGGACTGGGGTGGGCATCCTAATTGAGGAGTTGAGGTTGTGATTGGGGGGGTGGGTGGGTTCATCCAGGTCAGCTCTTTTGGATCAATCAGTTTTTGTTTTTTAGGCCTGGGTTTTGATTAAGCCCGTGCCTGAGTGTACATAGCCCCAGTAAGCGGATTTAAGGATTCTTGTATGTGTGTTAGGGATCCAGTTGTTGCTCGGCTGTGGGATCGGGGGTGTCATTGGCGGACGGGAGCACGTATACAGGACCTCTTGATGTTCCTCAGAAGCAAAAGCGCTCTGCTCAGTTTAATTCTAAGCCTTAGTGTTCTCTTGGTACTCTTAAATCCAGCTAGTGTCCCTCTGAAACATCCTTAAACTCCACTAGCATTCAGCTCTACAGGAGGGCTCTTTTTAAAACGGCAAAAACTGTCTCCTCGTCACTCTACTTGCTCTTTCTTCCCCCAACCCGTCTAGTAGGCCCGACGCTACATGACTTTTCTTTTTCTTTTTTTCAATGATGCACCTCCTAATTAAAAGACGTTCAGCTATGAATCCCAAACATAGTGACGCGTCTATTGAGAATCTATAACCCCATGCCGCTGCCCCCAACTATATCCAAGACCCCAAAATTGAAACTGTAGAAGCACCTGAAGACTCAGGTAGACCTGAGTCGACAGCCTCTCCTGACTGGAAAACAGCCCGACTAGTAGGAACCCTCGTTGTTTTGAGGCGCCCTTAAACCCACGTCGTCGCGCACTCGGCCTTCGGAGGGGCTCTTGCACATGACCAGTTTTCTCATTCTCTTATTTCATGTGTTTTGTTCATTTCTATTGTTTTGGTAGGGGAGGGGGGGGGCAGGGGGAAGGCTGAAAGAGTTTTGGCACACACCTTGTAGATCGTAAATGGTCTTTCTACTTTGTTAACTCCAAATGACAAACGTGTAAAAGCAAGGTAATGAGATGAAATGGGAGCACTTAGTGTGATAGTGAATAAACGTGTAAAAACACAACTCCATTTGTCTGGTCATTTTTAATCTTTCTAAGGTAGCTTGGGTTGACATGTAATGTCAGTTTATTTTACTTGTGGTGGTGTTTTTTCCTGTGAACTGTCTCTGGCTCATCGGAGGTTTCATGATTAAAGGTGTTGCGGAAACGCATCTGTGAAACGCCTACTTGCGAACTCTCCGTCCTAAATGTTTTAGTACTAATTTATTCTCACTTGTCAGTCAACATGATGCGTATTCCTTTGTTTGCAAAGTGTTACAGTTCTCTGAACAAGATTTTTTGAACCCTCCTCCGAGCGGATACATGAATATGTGCAACCATAAAGGATGTGGTTGCGTGAGATGAGGAAGAAAGCGAAGAGGAAGGAGTGCAGTGAGCGATTGTCGAGTTCCCTGCACATCGCTCGCTGTGTTCCTGGCCGAAGAGGCCAGTGACACTTTGGATTATATACAGCCCTCTATGCTAAAGTGTTTCTGTGAGGATGCGTTGACGACGACGACGAAGGCAATATGGAAGTAGATGAGACCGGTGAGACATGGACTTCCTGGTATGGTACTTTTTTTTTAAAGTTTTTATTTTTTTTTAATATATTTAGATGGAGTTGCCAGTTTCTAACTTCTATTACTAAAGCAATCAGACGGGACACAACCAATAGTAAACGATACCTCAAGTTGGTATACATTTGTCATGGTAAAGTTTCTAAATCATGTAATCACTGTAAATCTTGATCTTGAAAAATGTTTCCATAGTAGAGTATCATGCTGCTGGGATTCATTTACTATTAATATGACTGAGGCTTTTTTATTTTTTTTAAGCGCTGCAATGTTGGAGACTCACTCCATCCCCTGTGACCATGCTGGGGTAAATCACTCAATTTACCTAATTTATTTTCCCCCTCTCATATTGCATGGTGATTTCACCTAAATGCCAAACTCAAATCTCATTTACATTTCTGCTCTTTAGAAGAAGAGAAAACAGGACCCTGAACCTGTGGTGAGAATCATAGAGGTGAGTGATTTCTACACTCGGTTGCAGTGGCTCTGTCACCTTGCCATCTGCTTGTCTCTTAAACAGCGGAAGTTCTAGTCAGCCTTACCTTTGAGACCACAATGCTGAGTGCAGCAAGAAACGTGAAGCCGATGCACAAACCTCAATGTTCTCTGTATGACGAGTCACATTTTCCACTGCTTTGTATTCATCATGTGTGCCATGAACACAAAAATGCACATTAACTGCAGTTATGCAATGTGTCTCGCTCAGATTGTACTACACTGAATCTTCAGCTGATGTGGTTACTGTGGAAAAAACTGGCAGACATCTTGTATTGAAATGGCTTTTTACTACAGAAGCAGAGTTTAAACCTCCTTCCTCTTTGAAAGATTCACACAGGAAATGAGAGCTCTGCACTATGCAAGAGCTCAACCCCCCCCCCCCCCCCCACCACCACGACATCTGTCTTTCCTGAACTCTCGTCTGTCAAGCTCACCTAAGGCTTATTCTTCTGTGTGACCGATTTGATTTTAATCAGGATGATGAAGAGGAAGATGAGGAGGGTGAGATGATGTCCGACCACATGAGGGATTCAGAGGTTTGTTTGTTTTTTTGTTTTTTTTTCCCCTCAGGTGCCAGATACGCATTAATTGGTTTGAAATCTTAACGTCTTTTTGCCGTTTCATTTTAGGAGCCCAGTAACAAAAGGGTCAAACCCGTGGCAAAGTCCAACAGCCTAACCGGCGTCCTCACCCCGGTGAAGACCCCCGCTCTGAAACGCATCGGACAGTCTATTTCGGTAACAACGCGCACAACAACACACCCGCATGTCTGTCGTTAAGCAAAACTAACATCCGGTGACTTTCCACTGCTCTGCCCCTTTTTTTCCCCCCCCCGACAGCGGTCGATAAGTTTTCGCACGGAGGCGCGACCTTTGCCCCCGGCTCCCCTGCGCTCTCGATCTAAGGCCTCGTCGTATCCCCGCCGGCGCAACAGCCAGTGCTGGAGTGACACGGTGGAGAGTCACGACCTCACTGTAAAGGAGATCAAACGGCAGGAGGTACGAGCGGCAGCCAGGGATGTAACTTTCAGATTACTGTAATATGATTTTTCAGGTGGGGGGGGGGGGAGGGGGTCACTGGGTCAAGCTTTGCAACTTGTTGGCAGTGCGGGTGGGGTTCACGGGAAGCAGCTCCGCATTACGCGAGCGTTATGAAAGAGGATGTGAGCTGGCACTCATGCTTCAACTTCCTGGATTGAACAACCAGCTGCGAGAGCGCACGCCGTCCTCCTGCGTTTGTCGATGGCCGGTTTGCACGGGCGTCTCATCCACGTGTTCCCGTTGATTCCACAGGTGATCTACGAGCTGACTCAGGGCGAGAGACAACTCATTGACGACCTCAGTCTGGTCAAGAAGGTACTTTTCATCCAACAATAATACCTGAACCCGGCTGTTATATACTGGTACTCATTCTTCTCACCTCTCTGTGTGCTACCAGGTTTACTATGAGCCCATGCTGAAGCTGGAGATCATGACAAAGCCAGAGCTTGGACAGATCTTCGGTACACTGGACTCTCTCATTCCTCTACATCAAGGTATATCAACCTACTTGTGTCCAGAGCATGGATAAGGAAAGTAGGGCAGAGTGAAAAATACTTCTAATGTTTGGATGAATTTTGACGTTTTACACTCAATGTGTCCGGACTCTTGCATTTCAAATCTGAAACTAATCAAAATAATAGTCAAAGGTTGTTCTTTGCATCCATAATTGGTTTCCCTTGCTAAACATATAATGGGACCTCAGTTCATTACACTGAACATCAATGATTACATCAGCTTCCGCCATACGGTGACATAACGAGTGAGTGAGTTATCTGGTGATGCATTTTTTCTTACTAAAGGAGGTTGAATTCGGTCAATTTGATATTCATTTGTCACTCAGCTGAAGTAACACCGTTTTTCACGAGACATGAATAAATAGGAATTCAACAGTGTTGTTTTAAATTTTTTAACATCAGATCTCCTGGGTCGTCTCGAGCGGCTGCGGGGATCGGGGAAGACGATCGGCCAGGTGGGGCCTACTCTGATGAACTGGGTGAGTTAGAAACCCAAGAACTGAGAGAAAGTCTCACAAACCGCATTCACTCTCTACAGTTCCTGTATTTACTATTTTGTTCCGCTCTTATTCAGAGTCTCAGAGTTCGTCCCTGCTCCTAACTGTCCGCCTGTCTTTCTCGCTGCAGTTCCCTTGCCTGGAGGCCTACGTTACGTACTGCCGTAACCAGGTGGGGGCCAAAGCCCTGCTCGACCAGAAAAAGCACGAGAAAAAGGTTGAGCACTTCCTTCGTTTGTGCCAGGAGTCCTCGTTCAGCAGGAAACTGGACCTGTGGAACTTCCTGGATCTCCCTCGAAGCCGTTTGGTCAAATACCCCCTGCTGTTGAAGGAGATACAGAAGTGCACGCCTCCAGAGCACCCGGACGAGGACACGCTGCCCGATGCTGTGAGTCGCTCTCCTCGTGTTCACCGCCTTGCTCTCCACATTGCCAGTGTATCCCGGATGTGAGCTGCTTGTAGAACAGTGTAAAATACCCAGTAAAACGTATGTACCTGTGTGTTGCTACTCATTTGTTCAAAAAAGAGAATGTTAAATTCAGCAGAAATGTTTGGTGTGAGTTGTATCGGAACCAGAACCCAACAAAGTTCCTTCATCGCCAAAACCACCCATAAAAAAACCCCCATTAATTTTGTGTAATACTTTGTTCTGCTCAGTTGGAGCTGGTGCAGAGCATCGTGGCTGAGGTGAACAAGAATACGGGCGAGGCGGAGTGTCAGTTCTACAGGCAGGGCCTCGTGTATCTCGAGGACGGTCAGAGACTACAGGAGATCCAGCTGTCGCGCTTCCTGTACTGCCACGGAGAGCTCAAGAACAACAAGGGCCAGGTAGCGGCTCTCTTCTCGTGTTTCGCTGCTCTAAAGATGGCCGTCGGCTCTCCAGAACTTCTTCTGTTGATGCATTTTTATCTTGACTGAAAATGTCAGAGCATCTGAAAGGGGATGCGTCCAAATACTTACAGGGCTTTGCTCTTTCTGGTTAGGATTTCTTTTTAAACGAGCCTCTTATTGACCCCCTAACTCTAAAGGGCACTTTGTATCATCATCTTGTGTAGTAACCCTGCCACTTTCTAAATGTGTGCGTGTCCTTCGTCAGCGGCTGCATGTATTCCTGTTTGAGCTGGCCCTGGTACTGACGAGGCCGGGGGAGGACAGAGACAGAGGTCAGGTGTTCCATGTGTACAGACAACCTCTGCCCAACGCCTTGTTAAACCTGGAGGAGATCCCAGATGGGGAGCCCGGGGGAGGGGGCACCTTCAGGGGAGCCTTCACTGGAGGAAGTGATAAAGGTAACGGACTCTCATGACAAATACACGTAGTCAGCAAACAGTCTGCGTCATTAATGAATGACGTCCAAAAGTGTTAATTAACATTCTGTCCAACTAAATAATGAATGGTTTCAGCGCCACAGTAATGTGTTCGTACTCTGCTTTGGATGTATTTATACCTTTTGTATATACAGGGTTAAAGAATGTTGAATTTAGGCTTCAACTAGATCAATAGAAAGCCGCCTCCTCAATTTCCTTCCTTGTTTCTCTCCATTCCGTCCCAGTGAAAAACTGTTTCCGCGTGAGCAGCAGAGGGCGCTCCAAATTTCACCCGTACAGCCTGCAGGCCAACGACTCCTTTAGCAGGCAGCAGTGGATCACCTGTCTGCGCCAGGCCATCGTCCAGTCCAGGGACAGGACGGCTCAGACCAGCCAGTCGCAGCTCTCCCTCCACGCTGATCCCGCCGTGTATCACATAGCTCAGCTCAGCCTCAGCTCGGACACAGAAATGGCCGACCACACCTGCCGCTGACATCCGAGTGATGAGCGGGGGAGGTGAACTGCACACCGAGACGGGGGAGAGAACGAAATGTAGACTGTGAAAGATGGTTGTGCTTAGACGCGCACACATATTCCCCTACGTGGGTTTTGGTGTGTTCATGCATGTGTTGTGATTGTGGGTTTGTTGTGTATAGCTTGAAAACAGTATTACAGAATGTGGATTTACGATGTAAAATGTTACCAATGTTTTTTTTAATAAAGTGATATATAGATGTTTTGGGTACTTATTGCAAATGCACCAAAGTCTAAGAATAGCAAACAAGATCTTCAAAGAAAAGATTAGTCATGATTATCCCTCCCTCCCCTCTTACACCGTTGACAGGGGAGAGAGAGAGAGAGGTAGACTTTCAGTTTCATCCTACCGACACACAGTGAAACAGTAGACGTCCCCTAATGCATTTTTAACAGCTCAGCAGGGGATGGGAACAGTTTGGTTGGGACAGTTTGTTCATAGAGTGACCCGAGTGATCAGGTGAGTCCAAACTGCTCTGTTTATTTGCTAATGCTGGAACATTCATTAGGAATTATTTGCAAACTAACGATTGACGTCTTTACCCTTCAGAAACTGCAGTGAGAGTATCAGTTTGGCTTTGATAACCGCTGTTGTGCGATTCTGCATGTTACTAGTAATTTACTTCTCATTAGTCAGTTATTTAAGGTCTTAAGTATGTCTTTGTTTTCGTAAATATGTACCCTGAAGCTGGCATCTTAAAATCTACATTGATTGTGCTGTCTGTCGGACCCTGACTCCCCCAGCTGACATTACAGTGGTATTATCAGAGGAAATTGTCAACTCGACCTAAACAAGAGCTCGATTTACCTTTTGACATGAGGCTCATTTACAAATGGTTATTTTGCCCCTCAGTTGTTAAAGACATACCTCATAATTTGCCCTTAAAAAAAACACGTTAACCACCATCACATTCTGCTCACTTTGTCCACTGCACTTTTTTAATGCAACCTTCCCAGTCTACGGTGAAAACCACCTGACATTCATTTCTTTGGGAAGCCCCCCCCCCCATTTGTCCCATTAAGAGTGGAAGACACTACTGAGGCATGCCAGGGGACAGCGGCGTCAACACTGAGGGCTCTTGTGAGGCCTTGTGTCGAACCCTGGTTTCCCAGAATGGCCTCCAGAGAGAGACAGCCGACATCTCCCAGTCCGTCCTCTACACCTCGCTGATGGGTTTGCTGCTGGTGGCCGACGACAAGGTGGGCAAAACGCGCGCAATCCTTGAATGTATGTCAAAAAAAAGAAAAAAAAACTGTGCACTCTGATGTTGTGGAAAGTTAGTTTTTAACGTGGAATTTACGGCTGAGGGATTGTGTAGAGAGTAATGAAGAGTACGCATGCACGTGTTTAAGCACCTCTCAGCAGTCCTTGGTCTCTAATTGGATGAACGCTCCAGGCTGAACTCCTTTTAGCCTCTTGTTATGCTAACGAGATAAGAAGGTGCAATCTGCTGCAGCAATGCTATGCACAGATAGATCGCACGGACCTTCTTCCAGGGGCCAAATATTAGTCTGTATTCCTGTAAATGGCACTGGTCAGCAGTTTGGGTCAGCAGTTTTACTGGAGTTGCCTTTGTTTTCTAGAAAGAGCATCTCTCCCTAGGAAGTGGGAGGGTTGGCCTTAGAAACATTGGAAACACAGTAAGTGTTAAATTATAAAGAATGCCCTTTAATGAAATACTTTCACCAGATTTTTTTTCACATGCACACTTTCTGCTACACTTTGTCTCAAATAGTGTTTCCTGAACGCAGTCGTCCAGTGTTTGTCTCACACGCGCAGCCTACGGGACTATTGCCTCCTCATGTCCTACAAGGATGAGAAGTTCTCCAAAGAGGAGGCTAAGCTCATGGCAGGTGGGTTCCTCTCACCAACTGTTCCTTCCTCCCTGTTATGTTTTCATCTTCCTCATTGTGTCCCGTGTTTCTGCGCCAGCTTTCTCTCAGGTGCTGTCAGGCCTTTGGGATGTGAACGACGGGGACGCGGTCGTAAACCCGCAGCGGTTTTACAGTGTTTTTAAGGAAGCGGTACCTCACTTCAGTGGATACAGGTGAGAATGCAGATGATTTATCATTTTTCCTTCCAGGTCAACTGCATATTTCCACAACTGTTTTCAAGGACAAGAGAGGAACTGCTATTTTGTCTTTGTCCCAGTCAGCAGGACGCGCAGGAGTTCCTCAGGTTCCTGTTGGACAAGCTGCACACGGAAATCAACCGCAGACCCTACGTTCGACGAACAGAGAAGGAGCCGCAACAGAAATTTGCCAGATTTAGGTGCGTGCTTTCAATGCGTGAAGCAACTTTCAATGTGCGTCATGTGACCTTATCTCTCGTTCCCCTCATCTCCTGTTCCTCCTTAGGATTTCAGAAGAAGCCGCTGCCATGTGGAAGAAGCACTTGGAGAGAGATGACAGCGGGATAGACGGTGAGATGCTCTGCATTATGAACCCAATGAAGGCAGCACCACTGATAACCCCCCCCCATCGTTCTCACAGACCTGTTCTCAGGCCAGCTGAGGAGCTCGCTGCATTGCTCAGTGTGCTCGCACTACTCCAACACATTCGATGTGTTCTGTGATCTATCGCTGCCCATCCCCAAGAGGAGCTCTGCCGGGGGGGTCACGCTGAGGGAGTGCCTGGAGCTCTTCTCTCAGGAGGAGAAACTGGACAAGGAAAACTCACCTGTAAGTTGACACCGAATGTCCGACACCCCTTGGGTTACAACGCAATCGACCACGAGTCAATGGCATCTGTTGAACAGTGTAAACATCATGGCGAAGAATGAATACAGCAATAGAGCACCAGTACATAAGTGTCAAGGGAGCGAGGAGGCCAAAGAGCCTGTTGAGTGTAAATACAAAACATGTAATCAATCAAATATTGTTATGAACACCAGACAAGGCCAGAAAAAGCAAGTGGGAGGAAAAGTAATAAGTGTGACAAAAACTAGAGGAAAAAGTTATCATTTGTATGTAATGAAGTAAAACACAACACGTGTGTCTGCTCAATATATTTAAATGAATGTTTGTTTCTGGATTTGTGTTTCAGATGTGCGAGAGGTGTAACAGGCATACAGAGTGCACCAAGCGGCTTTCCATCCAGAGGTTTCCCCAGGTTATAGTGATCCGTATCCTTGACAAAAAAAACAATAAGAATTGACCTTAGAGCAGTTGTTGTGTCAGAAGCTATGATGCTTAACATTCTTGTTCAGATCTGAACCGCTTTACAACGTCACGGTGGTCCATCAGTAAAAGCACCGTGTACGTGTCCTTCCCGCTTGCTGACCTGGACCTTGGACGCTATGGGCCCGTCGACTGTGGTAAAGAAAGAATTCACCCTTTTAAAATAATCAACCAATAACAATACAATGTCAGTCAAAAACAGTGGCATGTATTCAACAGTTCGTCCACAGCTAATTTGCTACTCTTTGGTTTGACCGTTTTCTCATTTAAAAAAAAAAAAAGTGACAGATTTCTTGTAACTAGTAGATTTTTCCTTGAATTGTACAAGTAAAACACAAAACACAAGTCATGAAGAATTGAAGAAGTAAGTCATTAGGTCTAATGTGTGTTTCCCCCCCCCCACACACAGGCCCCGTTCTGTACAATTTATATGCGATATGTAACCACGCTGGGACGGTGAACATGGGCCACTACACAGCCTGCTGTTCAGACCAAAATGGCTGGTGCTTCTACAATGACTCATGGTGAGGCTTCCCTTGCACCCACATCTTCGTCTTTAATAAGAAACGGAACGTACCGAAGACTGCTACTTATAAAAACCCACTTTGTCCCTTTTGAGAAACAAGAAGCCATAAGTTCAAACCTCAAACCGTTTCTAATTATTACTCTCCATCTTCCCAACCACAGTGTGTCTCCGGTCTCTGAGCACCAGCTTCAGACCAATCAAGCATACGTGCTGTTCTACCAGCGCAGCAACAGCACCACCGCAGTCAGGAAATAAGACTTGAGACTGGCTGAGCCAAGCAGCCAATCAGGATCGTTACTGCCAGTGACCGTAGGAACAAATAGAAGCAGCAGTGCTGTAACTCTTGAATTTATGAACCGCTCAATCGCAGTGAGCATTGCCTTCAAATAATCTCTGAAGAAGACCAGAGCAAAGCCGCGCTCTCTTTGAAAGGGCCACGAAGAGGCGATCTTCCCTCTGGGATGGTGGAGATGCTTTCGGAGAGTCTCAGTGACAGAGCTGAGACAGCTGGGACAGTGGACGCAGCCTTAAGAGTCTCTATGCCGTGCTCCTCGGGCAGGAGTGAGCGGTGTACATGAGGCTGAGCTCTTTATGTAAGATGATTGTGATTTGTAAAGACACATTGGGTGGAATAGATATTAGGCGGCATATGATGACTCAAATGTGACATATAGTATTTCATTTTACGCAACAATTTTGTGAAATTGTACAGTACGTTTACTCTATGTAAATATCTCTCGCCAATTCTATAGCTATGCTTTCATTGTGTTTTATTGTTAATCTCCCTGCACATGGAGTTGAAACCTAAAAATTGGTTATATTTTTCCTCTATCTGAATTTAAATTTCTATGGAGATATTTGATTTTGTATATATATATAAATAACAAAAAACACAGTAACCTACTGCATTATTGATATTTGAATGCTTGAATAAAAAAAATCAGAAGTGAACTTTTCATGCAGTTGATATTGTTACTAATTTGTCACTCATTTGTTGATACGTATTATGTAGAATCGTAAACTGTCACACTTTATGTAGAATACTTGTCTGCCGCAGCCGACGGACTAATGACGTCGTCTCGCACATGCGTATTACAAGTGGGCGGAGCTTTCCAGTCGGCCAGGAAGAGGAGAAAGGCGGACACAGAACGTCAAGCGGTAATCTCACTCGACAATACCCTTTAAACTTCATGCCGGTTAACGTTTGAGTCACAGAAGTACCACACAAGTGCCTCGTATGGTGCGGTTGTAATTACCAACAGAATATATTGAATGACAGCGTTAAAAACCCCGGGAAACACCGTTAGCTTTGTTGCTAGCTACTATTAGCTGGTTTGACAGGCCCCATCTAACGTTACGCCGCACAGCCTGTCAGGCAGGAGGTGTGGGAACCGCTCTACCTTCAAGGAAGCCTTCCTGTTTGCCACCAGGAGACAAACACCTTCAGTTATCTTGCTTTTTTTTAAAAACGTTCTGATCGCTGTTGACCTGCTCCTAACATGACGTGCAGTCCGGGGAGAACTGGTGAAGGACGGGAAAGCTTTGCAACGGCCCCCGTGAAGTTGTAACAGTCGAATAGTCCCGTTCACCCTCTTACTTCACGTTACGGTTGATACAATTACGTTTGGGTGTGATTATTAGTGGAGAGCAAACAGAGAGCTGCCGCACCCTGGTGTGTTAGTTCATGCTGGAGTCTCCTCTTCCCCCCCCCCCCAGATGGCAGCCATCAGGAAGAAGTTGGTGATCGTCGGGGACGGTGCGTGCGGGAAGACCTGTCTGCTCATCGTTTTCAGCAAGGACCAGTTCCCGGAGGTCTACGTGCCCACCGTGTTCGAGAACTACGTGGCAGACATCGAGGTGGACGGAAAACAGGTGAGACTCATGTAAAGTGCTAATACGAGGCTCTGCAGAGCCCGAAGGGGTCATGCACACACACAATGATGAATAGCCTAATAATCCCCCCCCCAAAAAACAATTGGGAAATATCAGCACTGGTTTGACTTTTCATTGAAAGAATCTTCCTATTTTTTCCAGCATAGTTGATCCCCCTCTACACTGTCTTTAATTAAAGTTGAAAAATACGTTAGAATGGTTAGACTCAGTTGTGTAACTTCCATTAAGTGGTAATCTTGTAACTTAAATGCTTGGTTAGCTCTATTTTCATATCCATCATATTTATTTATCTGCCCTACATGTGTGTCTGTTTTCTCAGGTAGAGCTCGCGCTTTGGGACACAGCAGGTCAGGAGGACTATGACCGACTGAGGCCTCTCTCCTACCCCGACACTGACGTTATTCTCATGTGCTTCTCTGTAGACAGCCCTGACAGTTTAGGTATTGGCAACAATCACACCACTACGTGTCAAACACTTTGTGATTGTGATCTATGTCTCTTAATTCCTGCGTTCTTTCTCTCTATTCGCTGTAGAGAATATTCCGGAAAAGTGGACCCCTGAAGTGAAACACTTCTGTCCAAATGTTCCCATTATTCTGGTGGGCAATAAAAAAGATCTGCGCAACGATGACCACACCAGACGAGAGCTCGCCAAAATGAAACAGGTTGGGTTTTTTTCTTTTTCTTCAAATATGAGGGATTCTGCATCTTGGCTTTCTTGATTTAAACAGGAAAAAATAACATCAACCTAAAACAAGGTGTTGTTTATCTGGTTTTTATCAAAAAGCCTAATGTGGTATAATGACTTTAAAGTAAAAATGTAAACCGTCTCTCTCGACATTTGTCTCCAGGAGCCGGTTAAATTCGAAGATGGCAAAGAGATGGCAAACCGCATCAGTGCCTACGGCTACCAGGAGTGTTCTGCCAAGACCAAAGATGGTGTGAGGGAAGTCTTTGAGATGGCAACTCGGGCAGCACTGCAGGCCAAGAAACGTGGCAGGAAGACCAACTGCGCTCTGTTATAGGCTCTGGGAGAAGAGGGAGCTGCCGTCAAGCACAGATAGAAAGGGAGAAAATTGGGCAGGGACCGAAAACGTTGTGCTGTTGCTCAATTTCTTATCAACCATTTATCCTCAACAAAAGTAAAGCAGGTCTTAAATTATTTGATAGGCTCCCTACGCCTTCCTCGGCCTATATATTGGATTTTGTGCCATTTTGCTCTCTTATCAAAAAGAACCTTCAGATCCAAAAGCAGGTGGGGAGGGACGGTTTGAAGTTGAGTCGATGTAAACGTAGTTGAAATGTGCTATGATGGGAACTAAAGAGAAAGGGTCCTTACCAGGCCAAAGACCATGGGGACATCAGAGAGAGACGCATACGGGAAAAAATACATTAATATGGAATTGGTTTTTAATTAAGACTTTGTCAATGTGGATTTTACACAGTATCGCCTACATGTAGTGCCTTGAGAGCAGCGGCCAAGAAGAGTAAGTTGTGGGTTTGAAATTGAAATTACTAAACTAGGGTATTATTTTGTAATTTGTAGTCTCCACACATCACATTTGAGACCCTCCGCCCCCCCAACCAACACACACACCTCGCCCGCCCGCCTCTGTCATTGGCTATGCTCAATCAGGCCCATATTCTGACTCAGGCGCTGTCCAGAGGTATGCCTGAACTAGATTGTATGATACATTTTCCCATACCTTATTACTTACCTGTACTTTAGAGAGCGTGTCTGCAAGTGTGTGTGTGTGCGTGCGTGTGTGTGCGTGCGTTCAACTGTATGGTGCAGTTCTGCATGCGGTGAATGTGTGTACATTTTTTGTGGGTGTGTATTAACATGTGTGTCTATGTACTGTATGCATGGTAAGGTCTTGTGCGTTACTGACCGAACTCCTTTGTTTCCATGCCAAAGTTACCCGCGGTGGCCACATTTCGTGACACAGTTGGGTAATGGAATCACAGCTACTCGAGTGGCGTAGAAACTTTGGCTTTACTGAAAGGCATTGTATATCTAGAGGCACAATCAGGTTAAACATATGACTTATTAGGACCTTTCTTGTGTGTACCGGAGATTCATTTGATTTTGTTAATCAGTGGGTCAAATCCTGAGTGATGTAGTTGATGAGTTGAATATTCTTTCAGATAGATGATACATTGTGTTATTACCATAATGTCTACCATGTACTGTATGTCTTACACAGCTTTGTAAGTACATGTTAATGTGTTTCAAGTTTGCCTTTTACTCTACTATTCCCATCCCTTCTTCAATGATATTGTCATTATTGTACTATAACTTTTTATTGTTGTCTCTAATTTTCTTAGTATATTTTAAATAGTTTACTTTATCCTGCTGTTATGATCAGCTTATGTCAGTTTAATGATAAATTGTAACCATTAGTTAATTGAAGTTAATGCTTTGGGTGCAAGGCTAAAATAGTTTTGGAGATGGGCCTTTTTTTGTATTGTGACCTATTACGGTTTTTCTTTACGGATTCTTTTCCCCAAATAAAGCTGATAATAGGTTTTTCTTTTGTATGGTATTTAAGAACTTTCTATTTATTCAATAATCTCATATTTCTTGCATTAATTAACTTTTCTGACAACTTGTGACCCCTGATGTTTTTGTATCAATAAATGCCACGCAGTGTGTTAGGAATGGTCGGGCCACTGGTTTAGAGTTGGCTCAGAGCCGTTTAATTAGAGTCACGTCAACTCCGTTCACTGCAAAAGGATCCATTTCTATTAATTCTTTTTTTTAAGCAATGGAGGCTCAATGAGCTCTGCAATAGTTCCTATGAGTTAGCAGCGTTTATAATAGTAGCGCCATATGGATGCATTATAATGGACGTTTACTCTTATACTCTCAATACTTTTTTTTAATCACTAAATACATTTTTTTTTAATTTATAAAAATATTTAAATGTAAAACTATTGTTATGAGCATTATATAAACCGTAATGTTTATAATAGCTCAGTCATATAAAATCATAGGCTTATTACTGGAAATTAATCTAAAATGACTGAAATTGAAGAATGAGTAGTTGTTCCGCCTGTCTTCTGGGATTCCGGCTACTTTGTGTTAGCAGAGATGATTACATAACAGAAGGAAATTTGGCAGATTGAACGCTCATTGTGCCTTTACTAATTTGTCTTCCTGCCTGTTTTCTACTAAACCGATGGTTCTAAATATTACCTGGAACTAGTGTAAATGACGTTCAGGTACACTTCCGCTTACGCGACTTACTCTTAATACGACTCTGGGTTGGCGTGTTTGTCTCGTCCAATCACCGCCATCATTGGTATTGTCGCTCTCCAACCACTAATCGCATACCAGAGTCAGGTATTTGTACCCTCCCTCTCGGAGTTGTTGTCTTGCTGTGGCCATTTTACACAGTATTCCGTGAAAAATAAAACATACTTCTCACCTGGCCTTCGACGTGACATTAAAATAACTATTGTTGGTTACATGTGGCGCTGGTAAGAGTTTGTCCTATTACAAATACTGATGTTAACGTGTTTACCAACGGTGACAAACGGTTTTGGAAACAGCTTTTTTTTTTTGATTGGACTAGCTAGCTATCCAGATGCTAAACGATTTAGCTTGCCCGCTAACAGATGACCGTCACACGTCATTGTTTAACACTCATGTTTGCTTAGTTAGGTCAGGCATGCACACACGTTTTCATTGGGGATGCCGGGTTAGGCTTCAACTCGTTTGGTACGTGAGTTCTCATGTGTAAAGCGTTAAATATCAGTCAAAGTTGAAGGAGGCTGCAGCATTCAAAGATGCAGGCAACCTAGCGACAGAATAAAATGAATGCCTCCTGCTCCCAGTGAACGCACACCGTGCACATCACCCCTGTGCACCCCGGGGTGCCTCTGCTAGGACGATCTGACTGTTTCTGAAAGGCAGCAAAATTGCCTAAAAACTTTTTAAGTGCAATGTTACATCCATGATCTGTCCATTCTGTAACCAAATAGTAACATGGCAGGTACCAGGAGAAGAGTTGGTTATGGCATCAACCAGCAAAGCTGACCTCCAGGGTCCTGATTAATTAATTGAAACATTAAAACTGCTTTTGTACTTCTAGGGTCCCCGATGCTGTAACCAAATAGAACGGATCATATCGGGAGCAGTCAGTGAATCAGCATGGACTTTGAGCGGAGGTGAGCTTCCTCTCCCTGCCTGTCCATCTCAAAGAGATCACGTGTCCCACGAGTCCCTAACATTGTCTTTCGTGGCCTGCAGGGGTGGGCGAGGGGATCGCACGGGTCGCTACGCCAACACCCACAACGATCATAACTTCCGCGACATGGACTACCGGGCCTACAGCCAGGAGGATGAGGACGCAGGCGTGGGATACGACGCCGGCGCAGAGGGGGACATGTACGGCCACGAAGAGCAATTGCTGGGCGTCCCCGACTTCTTGCCGGGTCGTCTGCAGGACCGCTTGGGCTTTTACCAGGGAGGAAATGGCCGTGGGGGGAAGGGGCTCCTGTGGCCCCCGTGCACCCAGTCGCAGGCGGATTCAGCCCCTCCGTTGCTCCGGAGGGAGGAGGAGGGATCCAGGCGGGAGTTGGAGCAGTTGTTGACTGGTCGGCAGGAAAGGGGTCGGGGGAAAGGTGGAAGGGGCTTTCCCGAGAACAGCACCCCTCATTCAGCGGGCAGGGAGGGCAGCTGGGGTCGTGGCGGTGCTCATTCTGAGCAGATGGAATACAATTCTGAAATGCCGAGGGAGGAGGACAGGTTCTCCCGTGCAGCCGTGAAGAGGAGGGTAAGCCACTACAAGTTCATCCTCGCTAAGCAACGGCTCCAGTTTCATTTAGTTGTTGACCACGCGTGTCGGTTCCATGCAGGCCTTTCCAGTGGGGGCCGAGGAGAGAAGCGCTGCCTCGGACCTCTACCTCGAGGAGTTGGACCAGGATTACCGCGCAGACCCAGACCATAACCAAAGGCCAAGCAACATCATAATGCTTCGAATGTTGCCGCCCAACGTCACCACCAATGAGGTCAGTGCGCGTTTGTGAGTCGTTCTAATGATGCGTGGGTCTTACAGTCAGTCGGCCTGAAATGCAATAATGTTTGTGTGTTCATAGATCCGAGCACAACTCCAGGAGCAGGGGATCCAGCCCAGAGAGGTTCGCCTCATGAGAAACAAATCCTCAGGTAAAAACTTGTACATTGCTTCCAATTTTTTTTTTTTTTTTTTTTACTTTTTAGGTGTTCATCCTCCCTTTTATGTCAAACTCACTCATTACCAGCTTTTTTCCACTCCGGTGTTCTCTCAGGTGACTTTCCCTGACCTGCTCAGTCACCTCTTCTGTATTAATAAGTGCGCTTCCTTTTGTTTTCCTTCTCTCTTACTACCATTGTATTTCTTCATACTCTCGACAGCTGGATAGATTGCTGATGCAAAGAAATCCTTTATACACTCATACAGGCGTTTGCTGCGTTTCCTGCTTAGATTTTACTTTTTATCTGTTTGTGTCTGGATTCTGGCTAATGCTCACAGGGCAACAATCACCCTTGCATGCTTCCAAGGAGAGCTCTATCCATGGTTGGCCATTAAGGACCAGAATGCATGCACACAGTGATCAGTTTACATCCTTCCTCCATGGCATTCGTTTGTGTCTTTCCACTCGTCTCTTACCGTCTTTACCCTCTCATCATTCTGCCTCATTCCATCTTGAAGTGAGGTTGAACAATGCCCACAAACTTAACAATGCCAACTGAGAACTACGCAGCGGAAGCCGAGTGCATTTGGTGGCCTTTGTCATTGCAGCTATTTTTGGCTGCGCAAGTGTGTGGATGTGAATGTTGCAGCTACGTCTCAGTTCTGTAAGGCTCATCCATACCGCTTCGGAAAAGCTCTTCTTTCCCCCCCAAAGGTTTGCCATTAAGGTCATTCTCCCACCAGCCTCCCTTCTTTGCTAACACGCTGTTTGTCCGCAAGGTGTGCCGATCTACCTCAGGCACCCTTCCGGTCCTCCGCACTGCTCTGCCTTTCTCACCCCCCCCCCCCCCCCCCACATCACTGTTTAGAATAAGCCCCTCTCATTTTGTCATGTTTCAAGGATGATCTTATATCCGGTACAGCGTTGTTGTATATTATATGTTCCATAATGTGTTCTCGGTCCAGTATAGTAATGCATGGACAGTATGGAGCATTCCATCTATTGAAATGGTTGCTATATAGTTCAGGCTGCACTCTCAAGACCGTGTGTGCCTGCATGTGTGTGTGTGTGTGTGTGTGCGCGCGCCCATGTGTTTTGTTGGTGCCTGAGTGCTTCATCATATGAAAGCCAAAAAGCTCCAGCTCAAAGTAGTGAGTGGGTAGGATTCTCTCTTTCTCGACCTCTTTCCTTTACCTTGTTGAGATACTAGACATTGCGTTCTCCCACCCTTGCCGAGAATTCGACAGTGGCTTTCCAACTGGCTGTCAGGTGTGTTACTTCCAAGGGAGAGAGGAAGTAATGCTTTATTTAATTTAGTGCTGCTACAGGGTCTCTCTCTCTCTCTCTCCTCTGGACATGAAGCACTAACCCCTCACTGCGTTGTTATGTTGTTGTTGTTGTTGTTCGGTTACCATGGCGCTGGGCGGTGTCCAGGTCAGAGCCGAGGATTCGCCTTCGTCGAGTTTAATGTCATACAGGAGGCCACCCGCTGGATGGAGACCAACCAGGTCACTCTCCCCTACACAGACACACATACACATATATACATGCATACAATGGGACATATGTGTTAACATCAGGACAAGCGCACAGTCACATCATACCCCGTCACGTGCACCTGATGCACTCCAGTATGCTAGAGACACGGGGTGGAGGAAAGGATTTTTGTCCCTGAGGTAGGTAGGTCTTTCAGCTTTGACAAAATTCCACAAGCAGGTAAATGCGTGTTACATCATGCTGACGTTTGTCTGTCTGGGACCTTTACTGCATAGTTTTCATAGTGAACTCCCCCAGTCACATTCGCTTCTCATTGCCCAATTCAAGCTCCTCTATTATAGGGGTCTCCTCTTTCTCCAGGGACACGTTATCACTCTCTCTCTCCAATGGTCCATTGAATGCTGAAACCAAGATAGTACCTCATTTTTTCTTGTTTTGGAATCTTTCCTATCTGGGTCATCTCCCATTTACTACATCTTTAGGATGGATCCATTGCCTATTTGGGGGATCAAGGTGGTGACAGTGGGATGGGATGTGCGGAAAACTGTGAAGAAAGGTTTCCCCTTCAGGGGGGAGGGATGAAAAAAAAGACACATTGTGTCCTCTTTAAAAGTGGACACCCACACACTAAGCATACACCATCTCAGTCCGTCCCAATTTCCTGAAGCTGAAGGTTGCAATTCTCTGGTTTTCTCTTTCCTTCAGCCTCAATTCTACTCTCTGTTTCTCTCTCTGTGCCCCTCTCCCTCTCGTCCCTTTCATTCTCTCTCATCTCTTGTGAGATGAGGCCTTTCTCTGGCATGTTTGGCCTAATTATCGCTGATAATCATTCTTTGTTTCCCCCTCCCTCTTTTTTCTTTTTCTTTTT